AACGTTTCAACCCCCTAGGAACTCAAGAAAAATTTGAAAAAATTTGAAGATATGGGGAATGATGTGTTCAATGTGATGGCGACAAAAAACAATGGGGTACCGGGGTGAATAAGAGAGATATTTCAACCCGCCGTACCCATTTGATCCCATGCTTTCTCGAGGTTCGTCATGCGAAATAGAGGATTTTCCGCATTTATTTTCTCGATGTCTAGTTCCAGGTGCGGGTTTGAAATTTCGTCAGATAGATGAATACAGATTTCTCCAATGATGGAGGGAAAGAAAATTTTTTTTTTAAATCTGTTTTTAAATTCACTTGGCACCCTTAAATTTTCTGAGTCGATTTCGTAATCGGTGAGTGAATTGTGAGTTCCGTAATTTTTACTGAACATTTCTCTCCGTGAACGTCAGAGCATTCATTTGAGCCCCGTTTGACCCAAAGTTTTTTTTGCATCTTTTTTCAAATTCACTTGGCACCCTTAAGAGGGCTTGCTGCAACCCGGCCTGATACAAAACAATCATCTTCGAATTGAAATACTCGTCCCCCAATTTTGTATAAAATATACTTGAAACAAGTATATTTTATAGTCAATTCAGGTTTATTTTTTTCCGGGAAGAGGCTGTTAATTCAAGTTTTTTTTCCGTGTTGAAAAGAGCAAAAATAATTTGATTGTATTGGTGAACGATATAAGTTGGTTTTATTATACTATGAGATGGGGTCTACACTGTCAGAAATTTGTTGAAATTCCATGGAAGATATAGTAAATCTCATGAGGGTAATTTCAGTGGAACTTGAACTCGATAAAAATTGCCGGATCTTCACGGAAAATTCAGACGAAAAATTTTAACAGTGCACGACACAAACTCCAGTCCAATGTTTACTAAATAATATAAACATGTGATAAAGCCTGACGAGAAAGAAACCAAGAAATCAAGAAAAAACTATGGGCTTTGTGACTTCGATATTCTTTATTCAGTCTCGAAGCGAGAACACTTCTTCTTAATGAAAACCAAGTTCAATTGCTCATATAAAACTGGTTTTTATTTATTCACCTGGCTTCCCATAAACCAATAAACAATCAATGATGTTCCAACGACAGCTTGAATTTCCAAACTCACTCTGAAAATTGAACATTAGATACAATTCAATTTTCAACAGATTGAGAAGTCAGAAAATTTCTTGTTTGAATTTTTTAAATTTTCACTGTTTTTCAGTGTCGTATGGACCTGAATATTCAAGAAATTGACTGATTCGTCAATGAAGAAATACACAGGAATGTCATGTCACTTTGTCGTTGTTAAAATTTTCAATCTTTCACTTGAAATTTCACGAGGAATTTTCTAATATCTTGGTCTTTCTTGTCTGAAATAACAATCTCAATTAGTGATTATGAGATAATGACGGGCTAGATGATGCCGAGATGTGCACTGTTACAAAATTTCTTGAAATTTTAATCACTGTGTCAATTTCAAAGGAAAATATTCATCAAATTTCTCATTCATTTTGAAAATTAAACAAATGGGTTTTTCATGTGAAACAATCATCGATTTTCCAAAGAAAGCTTGAACTACATACATTTCAATTTTCAATAGATTAAAAATTCAGAAAAGTTGTGTGAATTTCGAAAATTTTTAATGTTTTTCAGTGCCGTATGGGCCTGAAAATCGAGAATTACTTTCATTCAAAAAATTAACTGATACATCAATGATGAAATATCCAGGAATTTCATGTAACATTATCGTTCTTAAAATTTTTAATCTTTTACTTGAAATTTCAAGAGTAATTTTCTAGCATCTAGGCCTCTCTTGACTGAAATAACAATCTCAATTAACGATTATGAGATAATGACGAGCTAGGTGACGTCAAGACGTGCACTGCTGTCAATTTCAAATGAAAATATTCATAAAATTTCTCATTCATCTTGAAAATTGACAAAAATTGGGGTTTTCCTGTTGAACAATCATTAATTTTCCGATGAAAGCTTGAATTTCCTAACTCATTCTGAAAATTGAATATAATATACAATTCTATTTTTAATAGATTGAGAATTCAGAAAAGTTGTTGCCCAAATCATTTCCCAAAATTATCTTGCCCAAAATTTTCAAACATTAATAAACAATCATTAACTTTCCGATAAAAGCTTGAATTTCCAACTCAAAAAAAATTTTTTTTTGAGTTTGGAAATTCAAACTCAAAAAAAATTGAAAAAAAATGAAAATTGGAAATTGAATTGTATATTATGTTCAATTTTCAATAGCTTGAGAATTCAGAAAAGTTGTTGCTCAAATCTTTTCCCAAAATTATCTTGCCCAAAATTTTCAATCATTAATAAACAATCATCAACTTTCCGCGAAAAGCTTCAATTTCCAACTCAAAAAAAAAATTTTTTTGAGTTTGGAAATTCAAACTCAAAAAAAATTGAAAAAAATAAAAATTGGAAATTGAATTGTATATTATGTTCAATTTTCAATAGCTTGAGAATTCAGAAAAGTTGTTGCTCAAATCTTTTCCCAAAATTATCTTGCCCAAAATTTTCAAACATTAATAAACAATTATTAACTTTCCAATGAAAGCTTGAATTTCCAACTCAAAAAAAATTTTTTTTTGAGTTTGGAAATTCAAACAAAAAAAATTGAAAAAAAATGAAAATTGGAAATTGAATTGTATATCATGTTCAATTTTCAATAGCTTGAGAATTCAGAAAAATTGTTGCTCAAATCTTTTCCCAAAATTATCTTGCCCAAAATTTTCAAACATTAATAAACAATCATTAACTTTCCAATGAAAGCTTGAATTTCCAACTCAAAAAAAATTTTTTTTTGAGTTTGGAAATTCAAACTCAAAAAAAAATTGAAAAAAAATGAAAATTGGAAATTGAATTGTATATTATGTTCAATTTTCAATAGCTTGAAAGTTCAGAAAAGTTGTTGTTCAAATCTTTTCCCAAAATTATCTTGCCCAAAATTTTCAATCATTAATAAACAATCATCAACTTTCCGATAAAAGCTCCAATTTCCAACTCAAAAAAATTTTTTTTTGAGTTTGGAAATTCAAACTCAAAAAAAATTGAAAAAAAATGAAAATTGGAAATTGTATATTATGTTCAATTTTCAATAGCTTGAGAGTTCAGAAAAGTTGTTGTTCAAATCTTTTCCCAAAATTATCTTGCCCAAAATTTTCAATCATTAATAAACAATCATCAACTTTCCGATAAAAGCTCCAATTTCCAACTCAAAAAAATTTTTTTTTGAATTTGGAAATTCAAACTCAAAAAAAATTGAAAAAAAATGAAAATTGGAAACTGAATTGTATATTATGTTCAATTTTCAATAGCTTGAGAATTCAGAAAAGTTGTTGCTCAAATCTTTTCCCAAAATTATCTTGCCCAAAATTTTCAATCATTAATAAACAATCATCAACTTTCCGATAAAAGCTCCAATTTCCAACTCAAAAAAATTTTTTTTTGAGTTTGGAAATTCAAACTCAAAAAAAATTGAAAAAAAATGAAAATTGGAAATTGTATATTATGTTCAATTTTCAATAGCTTGAGAGTTCAGAAAAGTTGTTGTTCAAATCTTTTCCCAAAATTATCTTGCCCAAAATTTTCAATCATTAATAAACAATCATCAACTTTCCGATAAAAGCTCCAATTTCCAACTCAAAAAAATTTTTTTTTGAGTTTGGAAATTCAAACTCAAAAAAATTGAAAAAAAATGAAAATTGGAAACTGAATTGTATATTATGTTCAATTTTCAATATCTTGAGAATTCAGAAAAGTTGTTGTTCAAATCTTTTCCCAAAGTTATCTTGTCCAAAATGTTCAATCTTTTTCAGGGCCGTATGGGCCTGAAAATCGAGAACTACTTTCATTCAAGAAAATAACTGATACATCAACGAAGAAATATCCAGGAATTTCATGTAACATTGTCGTTCTTAAAAATGTAAATCTTCTCCCCATAAATTTCAACAGTAATTTTCCAACAGTGTGAGGAACGAGGGGTTTTTCATTTTCTTGTACATACCCGAGGCTTTTTATTTTAAAATGGCCTTTGAGTCTCGTGTGTTTCTGTCGGCAGACCGCGACCTCGAGAGTGATATTTTTTTTAATGCGCTCCAGACTGTGCTCATTTTTTAATCCGTCCGGTGTTGAGAATTTTTTTGGGGAAAACTTTCTCACTGATTTTTCGGGCGATTGAGGACGGCTGGAGGCGCCCGGGACGTGTCACTCCTGGGGGGTATTTAAAAATTATTCAATGCTTAATTAATTAAGAGGATTTTTTACAATTACAACTAGAAAATTACTTCCATGTGCTGTGACTAACAGTTACTAACGTACTATAGCAGTTCACCAGTTGATGTTTGTACATTCGTGAGTATAGTGTACACGAAAATACACGAGTACAGCGTTCGGCTTTTCCCCAAGACGATAAAACGTGCCTCAACGCAGGCCTTCAAGCCACTGAACTGCTCTGTGGGGGGATCTTGAACGTTTTCACTTCTATTTCTTTCTTGAAAAGAGCAGTGGGTGGGTCTGTGACGCGAACAACGCCTTGAGAGGGGGAAATTATCATTATTTTTAAAATTTTGGGTGGGGGGGGGGATCGGGGGGAAAGGGAAATCAAATATTCATGTGTAGTTATGATTTCGTTTATTCTCGGAGGGCTTAAAATAAACATTCAGCTTAATAATGGAGATTTAAGAGATAGGGATTGATGAGCCGCCGTGAAATGCGCATTTACTGAGATCTCAATGAACCTGATGCCAATCTACGCTCTGAATTTTTTCTTAAATTACTTCAGGGTAGGAAGTAATTTACATCAAACTGAATTATAAAATTATAATGGTTTTTCATTCCTATGCAGTTCTAGAATTTTCATACACTGGTATTAGAATTTTATCGGACAGAAGGATAAGAAATTTTGAATTTTGCAACAATAGATTTCTCATACACGTTTCACAAAATTATATAATAATAATTACAATAATAATAATATAATTATATTATATTATAATTATTGTTATTACATTATATTATGTAATTATATTCAATATATAATATATTATTATTATGTATTATATATATATTGAATATAATTATATAATATAATACAAAATTATATTATATATTAATTAATTAGGTGGCATAGTAATTTTGATTGACACTTGTTAAAAATTTATGATAAGTATCGGAATTTTATAGAGTACAATTCAATTATTATCAATCATTGTTGTTTACTTACGTCAATTTATTTCCGAAATAATTCTTTCTCTAAATGTAAGTGACAGGGCAATCAGCGTCACATATCGTCCTGGACGATTATGTTGTTTCCGAATGGAGCCTTTGTAATCGTTCAAATTTAAGTTTTGGATTTTTTGTATTATACCGACCCAATGACAAAGATTTTCTTCAATTGTTCGCTAATGAATGGATGGAATTGAATCTTTTTTTTTTTTTTCAAATGTAGGTACTGCTGAGCCCTGTCAATCGCCATTAATTAAATTTTAATTCATTGATTAGTTTTTTTAATTTTCGATTTTGTCGAAAATCGATTGTCCCACGATAACTAAAAAAATGTTCTGAATTGATTGAATGATCGCTTAAATATTTGTTTGGATGTCCTTTTGGCCGAGTTCGAAGATGAAGGCGGTAGCAATAATCGTTATTTTGATTTTTGAAAATTGCAAAAATTTTGTATTTTTAGAAAATCAGAATTCCGGGGATATCTTTGAATATCATGCTTCAAATGAATTCAATCATAGCTTAAAATGTTTGTTTTGATGCCATTAAGTCGAAGTTAAAAGATGATAACGATAGCTATATTGGTTGATTTGATTTTTATGATGATTGTTGAAAATTTCGAATTTTTCCTGAATTTCCCTGAAAGTGAGCTTTCTGATGGTTTCTTCAAATGTGACGTTTCAAATTCATTCAAGCATGTGTAAATGAAATTTTTCTATTAACATTTTATCGAAGGGCTGAGGGGAGAGATAGAACTGTAAAAAAGACAATCGGTTGTATAGAAGAAAGGGATAATAAGAATAATGGTGATGATAACATTCAACTAAGTTGAAAATCTGGCAAAATTAGTTGAAAAGAAATCTTATTCAATTTAATAAAATGAAATACACAATGAATTATACATGATAGAAGGAAATGCTGCGCAGAATAATCATTCGGAAGCACATTGCTAATTTATTAGCAAAAATAACTACTATATCCAATACAAGAGCAATTTCCCACTTGTTAAATTTTCGGGGGAGATCGGGCGACGGGAAATCAAATATTCATGTGTAGTTATTATTTTCTTTATTCTCATCAGGCTTAAAATAAACATTCAACTCAATAATGGAGATTTAAAAGATAGAAATTGATGAGCTGCCGCGAAATACATTTTTCTTGTAAATAAAAATTTTCTCTTTCAAGTTTATCGATAAATTATGGAATTGAGAAGCTAGACTAGATGTTATTCCAATTGTCGTTGAGTAAAATCGATTCAAGGTACTCGTAATACTGCGATAATACAAAAATGTGCTATTGCGCGTTTTCTTAATTGATAGAGTCGTACAGTATGACAAAATACGAAATTTGCCTTTATTGACATTCTCATGTTATTCTCTCGGCTAGGAGCGTGTCAGTCAAGTACGCAATCTTCAGGGTTTTTGAGAAATGAAGCTTCTCAGATGGTAAATTCACACTCCAGGCTATTACACGAATCCCCCTTCTGCGCCATTCTCCAATAGTTTTTCTGTGCAGAAGATTTTATTTAGGACGAGGACTGAAATAGATTGTTCTATTCCACATTAGATCACTCAGTTGTGGTAATTACTACTCACGGACTTATGATGTCTTTATGTAACAGGATGACAGAGATACCAATGACATAATACGTGAATCTTGTCAATGCCCAGTCGTGCAATGCGTCTAGGATTCGAGCAGTTGAGTGCTGAATTGGATTCGAATATCTTGCGGGTCCTGAATCATTCAGTCCTGAATAGGAAACTGTGGAGAATACTCTCGGTCTGTAGGAGAGACTCCCTACAATGTTCGAATCTTTTCTTCTTATCTGTAAAAATTTCAGTACATTTTTCGGAAATTTTAACGTCTTGCTTTATAATAAATTATTTTTAATGTTGAATTGACGTTTTTCTTGGAAGCATTAAAATCGTTCGAATTTAAGTTTCAAACTTTTTGCGTTACATTTTTTTTCAAATGTAGGTATTGTTGAGCTTTATCCATCGACATTAATTAAAATTTTCTCGATAAATTATATTTTTGAATTTTTGAAATTAAAAATCGGTTGTCCCACCATAACTCAAAAAAATGTTCTGGATTCATTGAATGATGGCTTTAAAAAATTCTTTGGATGTCTCTTCGACCGAGTTCGAAGATGAAGGCGATAGCTGTAATCGTTGTTTTGATTTTTAGAATAATTTTCATGAAATATTATATTATATTTTCGAATTTTTGGAATTAAAAATAGGTTGTCCCACCATAACTCAAAAAAATGTTCTGGATTCATTGAATGATGGCTTTAAAAAATTCTTTGGATGTCTCTTCGACCGAGTTCGAAGATGAAGGCGATAGCTGTAATCGTTGTTTTGATTTTTAGAATAATTTTCATAAAATATATTATATTTTCGAATTTTTGAAATTAAAAATTGGTTGTCCCACCATAACTCAAAAAAATGTTCTGGATTCATTGAATGATGGCTTTAAAAAATTCTTTGGATGTCTCTTCGACCGAGTTCGAAGATGAAGGCGATAGCTGTAATCGTTGTTTTGATTTTTAGAATAATTTTCATGAAATATTATATTATATTTTCGAATTTTTGAAATTAAAAATTGGTTGTCCCACCATAACTCAAAAAAATGTTCTGGATTCATTGAATGATGGCTTTAAAAAATTCTTTGGATGTCTCTTCGACCGAGTTCGAAGATGAAGGCGATAGCTGTAATCGTTGTTTTGATTTTTAGAATAATTTTCGTAAAATATATTATATTTTCGAATTTTTTTAATTAAAAATTGGTTGTCCCACCATAACTCAAAAAAATGTTCTGGATTCATTGAATGATGGCTTTAAAAAATTCTTTGGATGTCTCTTCGACCGAGTTCGAAGATGAAGGCGATAGCTGTAATCGTTGTTTTGATTTTTAGAATAATTTTCAAAAATTTTGTATTTTATAAAAATTACAATTCCGTGGATATCTTTGGATAAAATGCTCTAAATTCATTCAATGATAGCTGAAAATATTAGTTTCAAAGCCACTCTGTCGAAGTTAAAAGATCGCTACGATACCTATATTCGTTGGTTTGATTTTCATGATAATTTTTGTAAATTTAAAATTTTTTGTGAATTGCTCTGAAAGTGAACTTTCCGATGGTTTCTTCAGATATGTTTCAAATTCATTCCATAATGTAGATAGCATCATTCTTCCATTCGATTTATAGAAGAATTTCGGAAATTATTCTCATAGCATTCAAAAGTTTGTTGATTTCCCATCTTTTGCAAAATTTATTTCCACTGATTATTTGAATAAAAAAAAAAGGTTAAAATTGATTCAATTATCATTAAAACGACCTACTTCGACTTGACTTTCATCAAATAACCGGATGGTACAGATATATTATTTCACATTTGAAATTTCATCAAATATTAAACTAAATTAAAAACATAACACAATTGATTAAAAAAGAAATTCCACTGAATTGAATAAAACGATGAATTGTATACTATTATCAGCACAAAAAAATACTGTATTAATATAAAAGCAAATTCCCACTTGCTTTATTCCAATTTTTCCAATCCAACAGAAAAATAAGATTGAGTGAAAAATACTCTTTCATTTCAATACTATCTCATTCTGAAAACCTTGAAATAATCATTCAAAATAGATTTATCATTCAGTTTTCCTGGAATAGTGCCCATCCTACCATATAGACAATAAATGGATAAAAACTGGTGACGACAGCCTTTCTGTACAACTCCGGATGCTTTTTATAAGTCTCCAAGATCACCGAGACAATATCAAGGCTCGTTTCCTTAATATCAATGAACACTCTGAGGTCATGATTCAGACACTGCTCGATTGTGTCGCTGAACAGAGCTATCCTCTCCCCCCCATTGAACTTTTCCCTGAAATGAGGACGAGAATCATCAATCAATGTATCTCACATCGGTGCAAGCAATTCCCGATGAATAAGTAATTGAGTTCTTCTTATTTACTTCAATGGGTGGTTGAACGTGATATCGAGTTGCTTCAACTCTTCCCAAGTCATCTCTTTGACGACCCCCGGCCTCCCAGTGAGTCTCTCCACGGTTTCATCGTGGAAGATAATTGGAATGTGGTCTTTGGTGAATGTTAGGTCGAATTCGACAGCAGTGCAGCCCTTTTCTTTACTCTGAGGACGAGATTAAGGGGTTTTGAGAACTGGAGGGATTAATTGGGCCGTTTGTTAGTGATTTTGGATGAGGATATCCGAGTATTCTCTGTTTTTCGTTGCAATTGCTCTGGACTTTTGTTGTTGAATATTGTGAATAAGTGAGAATTACTTTTTAAACGATTTTCTGATCGATTTGAATTGACTCCAAATTTCATCTGGGGCATCCATCGAAAAATGCATTAAATTTTTTTTTTAATTGATTTTGTTTATGAAAACTCATTATTCTGATATTTTTACAAGCACATTTGTACAAAGAGTTAAATGGAATGATTGCAAATATTATTTTCTTTCAATAGGAGGAAAATAATGAGGAACATGGAAATTTAATATCGTAAATATTTTTGCTAATTAATTTTCTTCACGAAACCCTTATTTACATTTTGACAAATCCATATCTGCCCAGAGTCCAATTGCTATCGAAATTTCTTATAAATTCTTGAAGTGAATTAATGAAAACTTTAAAAATCTGAAAAAATTCCCCAAAAATTCTATATTTAAAAAGACTTATTCCAAGCCATTCTGAAAAATCTAACGCCGGAAAAAATTCAATAAAACATGACATGTGTAATTAAATATGATGAAATAATTGAGAATACTTTTTTAACCAATTTTCTAATTATCTCAAATTAATTTCAACCCTTTTACTGATTCAACTAGGTAAAAATTTTGTTAATTAATCTGACGTCCATCGAAAAATACGTTACGAAACCCTTATTTACATTTTTACAAAAACATATCTGTCCAGAGTCCAATTTCCCTCCAAATTATTAGGGGAGGGTAGGGTAAAATGGACAATTTAGACTTTTTTAAAATTATTCATAACTCAGAAACAAATGTATCAATGGAGCTCAGTTTAGGCTCATCACAAAGGCAAAGAGTTGTTCTTTGTACTAAAAAAAAGTGATTAAATTTCATCAAGATTTCAACCCGTCACTAATATTTTGAAAAAGTCAAGTGTCCATTTTACCCCAACCTCCCCTAATAAATTCATCAAGTTAATGAACGAAAGCTTTTAAAAATCTGAAAAAATTCCCTAAAAACTGATAATGAAAACCGAAACAAAATAACAATTTCGGAATTGAATGCAAAAAATACAGGGATCTCCTTGATTAATCTACATGGATTAATGAATTACATTACGAAAAGCTGACAGGCTGTTCTCCGGATAATCGTATCCTCCACCCCGATGTGCGACTACCCTCATGCAATACTCTCCCCCATGACCATTACCATCCTCAACGTTAAACGGATCAACTCCCAATACTTGATGAACCGTTTTCTCGTTCACAGGGACATTCTTGACGAACCACAGTGCAACGAGAATGGCCAATGTACCCCAGAATATCCAGGGTAACGACAAATAGAATAATGTTGATATGAGAACAAACCAAATGGTCTCGGTATAGATCCATACGAGAGCACTGTCCAGAATCAACTTGAGAAAGGACATGATTGTCGATTAATTGTCACTTAGTTACTGGCATTATCACAGCACCTGGGGTATCAACTATCACGAGAATCTATTCTCATAATTGAGCAACGTCATTACGGGGCAGGACAGGGCGAGGGTTATGATAGCTGTGCCCTATATTCCCCTGATCGAGGTCAATGTTGAACAAAAATACTGGGATTTGTGAGCGAGTGAATGTGGGGAATGTTTGGTAGATGAAGTATTGAGTGAAAGCGGTGAAAGCTTTATTATTTGGTAATTGTTAGTCAGGGGAGAGTGTAAATAACAAAATCTACTGACAGCTACGCTTCTACTGACGGGGGTTGGCAGCAGTGGGATTACACCCCTTTCTATAAGAAGTGTTGGCTTGTTACGTCCCGAGCTGGTTATTTTGTAATATAGATGGCGGGTCCGTTGCCCGTGGAGTGCTAAAGCACTCTGCTGCACAAGTGCGGGTTTTATTTAAATAATTGTACAAAAACACTGGATTTATGTAGAAGATAAAATTTATAATGAATATATTTGCACTTTGACTTTTGTTGACAATAACAAATAGAAACTTTGAACACAAACTCAAAGGAAGAGATCTCTAGATCTTCACTAGTCCGCGTAGGTGGTGGATCTGCTGTTAATTCTAGTCTTAAAATTATTCTAAGTCTAACGCGCGAAAAAGTCATCCCACTCGAAGGAGTGGGGAGCCAATCATGTCCTTGAACTTGGTCGATGGGGTTGGTCTTACACCCCCACAACCGTTCGCTCTAACCCAGCCCCAAACTCTCGGGCCTACGTGACCCAAACAAAGGGCCTCACCCACACATGTTGGGGAAAACAAGGGAAATTCCAAAGTTTTCTTGGGAAAGAAATAAACTCTCTCAAGAAAGGTTTTTTGACTCCGACGGGTCAAATTGCACTCGAAAAACTCATCATATAAGAAAAAAGAGGTACTTGAAAGGGATTAACCTCCGGGTGGTCTGAGGATGTTGGGACATTCCCCAGTTTATTGCTCTTTTCCTGTTCTTGGGTTTTTCCCGAGTCTTTGTTCAATGAAAACCTAAACATTTCTCTATTTTAAAAATTATTTAAAAATATCTCGATGAATTAACTTAGAAATTGAAAATAATAAATTTGAATATAAATCCTAAAGTTACGGAAAATGGCGGTCGCCTAGGGACCCTGCAACCGTCGCTGGTGCATATGCGACAGTCTACTGTAGCTAACTGGGGAATTCTATTTACCTCAATGTGACAGATAAAATCCCTAGTTTTTTGTCGGTTTTGGAGCAACAAGAGGGTGTGAATGAAGTAACAATTGAATAATAAATGAGAATTAAACGTTTAGAATGGGTGATTTTTTAGCAATTAATAATACATGTGGCCAGAATTTACTGCGTCTTGTGTCAAGGGGCAATGCCATCATCGCTGAGTTGATGAGACTGAAAGAATACGTGCCTCCCATTTTCAGGTTAGACTTCATAAAATCATATCCCTCAATAGTAGTTGCATAAATTTTTTTTAATTAAAAAAAAATTGTCAAATGAACGAAACACGAAAATTGGAGAAAAAATATTAGACTCGAATTTTGTTATTTTGAAAAATTACGAAAAATAGAAAGATTCTACGGAATTGAAAAAGTGTCTGCATTAACTTTGATGCTCATGTTCCTTTTGCATTACAGATTAGCGTCCAGAGCTCATCCTAACAGATATGGATCAATTATCATGGATTTCGCTTACTTCAAAGCAGCGAATGTTCATGAACAGAGGATTGAGAACAATCCGGTCATTAATTCGCTCAATTTCTTGAACGCAATTGATTAATGTCGAGTTATAACAATTTTTAATGCTTTTCAGGTGCTCCAAGAGCTCGATGAGCACCTCAGGGAGAATTACTCTGACGTTCTCACACGATTCTATCTAGCATTCGAGAGTATTCATAAATATGTAACAGACCTGAATACTTACCTCGACGAATTGGAGGATGGAACTTACATTCAACAGTCGATGGAGAGTGTTCTCCTGAATGACGAAGGAAAACAGTTGATGGTAATCGACTAATCCTCAAAATCCCGAACTAATACTCGAGACAATCGACTTCATAGGGAGTTGGCATTCTTAACTTCCTTCATTCCCAGATGATGACCCCTAAAAACATTTTTATACACTAACTTTCAAAAAATTGTTATCAATTATGTCACTCATATTTTAGCCCACACTGAGAGAAAAACGACAAAGTTCTCCAACAAGTCTTACTTGTGCCAATAAAATATTTTTTTGAAAATGATCAAAAAAGGATTTTTTTGTGCCAAACACGCAGAGAGTCCGCCGGAATGAAAAATTTTTGTCGCAAAAATAGATTTAGTAGTTAAAAAAAAATTGCATTTTCTGTACACGCAAGAAATGTCATTTCTAGCACAACTCCTTCGTTATTCGATACTCCCATACATATTTTGCTCCCAAAAAATCTTTGTTTTATTCGAAACAAGGGATAGTAGTTTTTCGTTGCGTCTAATAATCACAGACAAGAAATGAACCCTTAAATGGAGCAATAACAATATAATAGCAATCTTGTAACTTAGGGATAAAATATTTGTTGCTAAATTTTCCTCTATACGAGATATTTTCACCCTGAAAAGGCACCGTCCGGTGTGAATTATCCGCCTCTTGAGCCAAATATTTCGTTGCTGTCGAAAGCAGCACAATTATTCACGTTTGAGACTTTCAAATTCGAACCAAACAAATTCTTCTTTGGCAATTTTCAACTAGCGATTTTGTTGGCCCAAACAAGACTCGTTTGCCAACGTGTTTGTTTTTCTTCCTTCATTCCCAGATGATGACCCCTAAAAACATTTTTATACACTAACTTTCAAAAAATTGTTATAAATTATGTCACTCACATTTTAGCCCACACTGAGAGAAAAACGACAAAGTTCTCCAACAAGTCTTACTTGTGCCAATAAAATATTTTTTTGAAAATGATCAAAAAAGGATTTTTTTTGTGCCAAACACGCAGAGAGTCCGCCGGAATGAAAAATTTTTGTCGCAAAAATAGATTTAGTAGTTAAAAAAAAATTGCATTTTCTGTACACGCAAGAAATGTCATTTCTAGCACAAATACTTCGTTGCTGTCGAAAGCAGCACAATTATTCACGTTTGAGACTTTCAAATTCGAACCAAACAAATTCTTCTTTGGCAATTTTCAACTAGCGATTTTGTTGGCTCAAACAAGACTCGTTTGCTAACGTGTTTGTTTTTCTTCCTTCATTCCCAGATGATGACCCCTAAAAACATTTTTATTCACTAATTTTCAAAAAATTGTTATAAATTATGTCACTCACATTTTAGCCCACACTGAGAGAAAAACGACAAAGTTCTCCAACAAGTCTTACTTGTGCCAATAAAATATTTTTTTGAAAATGATCAAAAAAGGATTTTTTTGTGCCAAACACGCAGAGAGTCCGCCGGAATGAAAAATTTTTGTCGCAAAAATAGATTTAGTAGTTAAAAAAAAATTGCATTTTCTGTGCACGCAAAAAATGTCATTTCTAGCACAAATACTTCGTTGCTGTCGAAAGCAGCACAATTATTCACGTTTGAGACTTTCAAATTCGAATCAAACAAATTCTTCTTTGGCAATTTTCAACTAGCGATTTTGTTGGCTCAAACAAGACTCGTTTGCCAACGTGTTTGTTTTTCTTCCTTCATTCCCAGATGATGACCCCTAAAAACATTTTTATTCACTAATTTTCAAAAAATTGTTATAAATTATGTCACTCACATTTTAGCCCACACTGAGAGAAAAACGACAAAGTTCTCCAACAAGTCTTACTTGTGCCAATAAAATATTTTTTTGAAAATGATCAAAAAAGGATTTTTTTGTGCCAAACACGCAGAGAGTCCGCCGGAATGAAAAATTTTTGTCGCAAAAATAGATTTAGTAGTTAAAAAAAAATTGCATTTTCTGTACACGCAAGAAATGTCATTTCTAGCACAAATACTTCATTGCTGTCGAAAGCAGCACAATGATTCACGTTTGAGACTTTAAAATTCGAACCAAACAAATTCTTTTTTGGCAATTTTCAACTAGCGCTTTTGTTGGCCCAAACAAGACTAGTTTGACGTGTTTGTTGTTCTCTCAGTGTACCATCCATCACTCAATGAATGAATGGAAAATTCCAGTGTGAGGCAGTGTACCTCTACGGAGTGATGCTCCTCCTCGTGGACCACCAGTTCGAGGGTCACATTCGCGAGAAGCTCCTGGTCTCGTACTACCGCTACCACGTGCAGCGCTCGTCCTCCACAGGAGTCGACGACGTCTGCATGTTGTTGCGGTCCACAGGCTTCACCAAGTCCGCGATAAAGCGTCCATCGAACTACCCCGAGGAGTACTTCAAACGCGTCCCCATAAGCCCCACCTTCATCGACCTCCTGATAGGTCGCTTGCGCTCCGACGACTTGTACAGTCAGACCCTGGCCTTCCCGAGCCCCGAGCACAGGAGCATAGCCTCGGCGAATCAAGCCGCAATGCTCGTGGTAATCCTCCTCTTCCAGCCCTCAGTCCTCCACTCGGGCGCCGCGATAATGCGAGAAATCGTCGACCACTTTTTCCCGGACAACTGGGTCATCAGCATTTACATGGGGATCGTGATAAACCTCTGCGACTGGTGGCTGCCGTACAAGGCAGCCCGAACAGCCCTCAACAACACCCTGGAGGCCTCCAACCTCAAGAACCTCCCCCAGCTCTACGGGAAACGAATGAAAAAAGCCATCGCTGAGACCGAAAAACTCCAGCTGGCGGTCTCCGTCGAGGAGAACGAGATCGAGTCCGTGGTGAAGCTGATTCGCGAAGCCAACGTGGCCCTCCACTGGATGCTGCTGCACACCACGACCCCCACGATCCTCTCGGAAGAGTCCAAAAGAGTGAGAACCCTCAGGCAACAGGTCATCAACGAGAGCAAGTACACCCCCGAAGAGGCCTTGCGACTCCTCCTCAGCACCGCCCAGATCGAGCAAGACCTGAAGCAAATGTACAAGCAACTCCTCCAAGACAAAGAGTCCAAGTGGCTTGACAACAAGAAATCGTGCGTCGAGAGGATCAAGGACCTGGGGGAAGTCTTCGGCGGGAAGAGACGGCTGGATGGCATCGAGACGAACGAGTGCCTCGAGAAGTGGTTCAAGGAGATCAGTGGGCATGTGGGGTCACTGGAGCAGGAGGACCTCAGGAAGATTGCTCAACTGCTTCAGGCCCTCGAGGAGGTCCAGGAGTTCCACCAGCTCGAGAACAACCTCCAGGTCAGGGGTCGGCAGGAATAATAATTTCCAGTATTCGTATTCCCAGCAAACAGTGGGTCGACAATTTGTCGACAAATTGCCGGTGTCCTGTTCAATTTTAGGTGGCACTGGCAAAAATTGTTTTCTGGGTTTCATTGACATATCAATGGTTAAGGATATTCGACACCCTTTTAGCCAAAATTGACGTTGTTTTCATTTTTCTGGCAAACTTATGATGGAATTGACGTGAAAAAATATAACGTTTTTGCGTTTTGTCATTATTTAATGACTTACGAAAGTTTAAGGTGGTGCGAACATTTTCCTGCGTTTTCTCTAAACTTTTAAAAAGAATCACAAAACTGTAGAAAAAACGCATGAAAATTATCGCACCACTACGCAACTTCGTGAGCCATTAAAGAATGACAAACCACAAAATCGTTATATTTTTTCACGTCACTCCCATCGATAATTTGCCAGAAAAATGAAAACAACGTCAATTTTGGCTAAAAGGGTGTCGAATATCCTTAACCATTGATATGTCAATGAAACCCAGAAAACAATTTTTGCCAGTGCCATCTAAAATTGAACAGGACATTGAAAAGTCGATTTACATCATTAAGGATGTTCGACACCCTTTTAGCCAAAATTGACGTTGTTTTCATTTTTCTGGCAAATTATCGATGGGAGTGACGTGAAAAAATATAACGATTTTGTGGTTTGTCATTCTTTAATGGCTCACGAAGTTGCGTAGTGGTGCGATAATTTTCATGCGTTTTTTCTACAGTTTTGTGATTCTTTTTAAAAGTTTAGAGAAAACGCAGGAAAATGTTCGCACCACCTTAAACTTTCGTAAGTCATTAAATAATGACAAAACGCAAAAACGTTATATTTTTTCACGTCAATTCCATCATAAGTTTGCCAGAAAAATGAAAACAACGTCAATTTTGGCTAAAAGGGTGTCGAATATCCTTAACCATTGATATGTCAATGAAACCCAGAAAACAATTTTTGCCAGTGCCATCTAAAATTGAACAGGACATTGAAAAGTCGATTTTCATCATTAAGGATGTTCGACACCCTTTTAGCCAAAATTGACGTTGTTTTCATTTTTCTGGCAAACTTATGATGGAATTGACGTGAAAAAATATAACGTTTTTGCGTTTTGTCATTATTTAATGACTTACGAAATTTTAAGGTGGTGCGAACATTTTCCTGCGTTTTCTCTAAACTTTTAAAAAGAATCACAAAACTGTAGAAAAAACGCATGAAAATTATCGCACCACTACCCAACTTCGTGAGCCATTAAAGAATGACAAACCACAAAATCGTTATATTTTTTCACGTCACTCCCATCGATAATTTGCCAGAAAAATTTAAACAACGTCAATTTTGGCTAAAAGGGTGTCGAACATCCTTAATGATGAAAATCGACTTTTTTTTGTTGAAATTCAATTGGTCCGTATTCGGGTCAGCAGCAATAATTCATTAGAAATTTACTAATTCAATTGCACTACCTTTCGATGTTTTTTATTATTATTATATATAATGTAAAAGGCCGAGAGGTCATACACATTGGACGAATAAACTCCTAAAAAAACTAGTAATTACACTGAGAAAAAAATGGCTGTTGCCAAGGTGACATATTTGAATATCTTAGCACAATAATATCACAACACAATAATACCCCAAGTCAAAATCACCACATGAAATTATTTTGGGTCCTAGTTTGGGACCCGATGCCAGCCACGTCCTCGTCGTGGGTCCTGGGCAACGCCAAGAGCTGGTGAGGCGTGAAATTTAAGTGCCTTCCCATGCTCGTGAATTTATAGAAGTACTTATATTTAAATTAATTTTTGAAAATTAATTGCCTTTAGAAGGAAGGTGGAGAAAAAGGGAGATCCCGTTCATCTACCTGGTCATCCATATTATTATATGAGGTGTACCTAAGAGTTTAAATTCACAAACTGGCAACCCAGTCCCAACTTGGTAAGAAAGGAGACCCATTGGGGATTAATGGCATGGTGATGAAATGTCCTGGGATTATTATTAGATATTGTCCGTGGTATTAATTCAGTAGCGAAGCGGTAAACCGAGTTAAGTCGATTTTGACTATTGGCCAGTTTTTGACGAATATCAGGGAATCTAAAAGAGATAGAAAAATTTTTGTCGTGACCTTTTTTGTAGAGTCAACTGAAGGTTATAGAAAAGGTAATGAGCAAAATTTTGCTATCTCTCTTAGATTCCGAGATATTTGTCACAAAATGGCCAAAAGTCAAAATCGACTTAACCCGGTTTACCGCTTCGCTACTGAATTGTTCTTGAAGTTTAGGTATGTAACCTTTGCCAAGTATATTTACTTGCCAGAAGTAAATGTACATAAATATCTCCATAAGACGTGTGTAAATTTTCTTGTAGTTAGTAAATATCCTTCTGGAACCAGCTGATTTAAACGAAATGGCAGTCAACAGCCTTAGTAGCCTAGTGAAAGGCGCAGACTAGGGCTAAAAAATTTCAAATAGAATTCGAATTTAGAGAGAAAAAATTCCCGCCGCACCCAGTCGGGAATCGAACCCGGGACCTCCCAGTTACGCGCCGCGTAACCAATGTCATAGACTGACCGAGGGAAAAAGGCGGAAGTTACAAAAGATCGTAAGATTTAGGTGCCTCCGGGCGTCTAATCGACCAGCCGCGTGCATGTCTAAATCTAAATCTAGTAAAAATACTCGGCAAAAGTAATTTTTTTCTCAGTGTAAGCAAAAAAAAGTATTTGCGGTGCAAATATTGTCGAATAGTGTATTTCGTAACGAGTGCAAAAAGGTGTTTTTTGGCGAGTGATATAATCCCACGCGCTAAAAAACCTTTTGTCACGAGTTACGAACAATATTTTTCATCACAATGTGGCGGAAATTGGACTTTTAGGCACGCGGAGCGTGCCGAAAAGTTCACTTTTCGTCACAGCGTGATGAAAAATAATATTCGCCCCGATCTCTGCTGTAGGTCTCGCAGTACCTCACGTCCACCAGGGATTTCCTCCACAGCATGATCAGAACCGGGAGCATCACCGAAGACAACCTGATCGCCCTCAACATAATGACGGACTGCTGCTACGCCTGGAACATCATGGAGACCTACGTGGACCTAATGCAGTCCAGCATAAAGAAGAACCCTCCAACTGTGATCAAGCTGAAGGCGTTGTTCCTGAAGATGGCGTCAGCCCTGGAGACCCCCCTGCTGCGCGTGAACCAGGCGAGAAGTGCGGACTTGGCCTCAGTCTCCCAGTACTACAGCAGAGAACTAGAGAGCTACGCTCGCAGGGTCCTCCAGATCATCCCGGAGACGGTCTTCGGGCTGCTCGCCCAGATCGTCCACCTGGAGACGAACATCTTCAAGGAGATCCCCACGAAACTCTACAAGGACAAGCTGAAGGACTACGCGCAGCTGGAGGAGAGGCTGCAGATGGCCAAGCTGACGTACGCCGTCTCGGTCTTCACGAATGGCGTCCTGTCCCTGAGGAGCGTTTCCCTGGGAGTTCTTCGGGTCGACTCGCACCGACTGCTGGAGGACGGGATCCGCCAGGAGCTGGTTAAGAAGGTCACTCTGGCGCTTCACAGCGGTCTCACCTTCGACCAGAAGAACAGGAACTGCCTCGTGGCGAAGCTCAACGACTTGGCGAACGTCATGGAGGGCTACAGGAAGTCCTTCCAGTACATCCAGGACTACATCAACATCAACAGCCTGAAGATCTGGCACGAGGAGATCACTTACATCATCCACGTGGCTCTGGAGGACGAGTGCAAGGACTCGACGTGGACCCCTGGGAGGAATTGGAAGCTGTTCCCCCAGGAAGACAAGACTGAGAATTCTGGGGCTGAGGGGAATGGCTCGGGCTCGTTCATGGGGCGGCTTGCCAAGGAGCTCATCAGGATGACCGATCCCAAGTCCACGGTTTACGTGGAGCACAAGCTCGCTTGGTACGAGCTGAAGACTCAGGGGGAGGTGCTCGACCACAGGGTGTTCTCCATGATCCTGAGGGCCATTGGGACCCCCGGGCTCTTTGGACTGGACAAGCTGCTGTCTTATTACACTTATGTGGAGCTGGGGAACATCTACAAGCACGTGGGGACGGCCAAGAGGGATAAGGCCTGGGGGAGTCTGATGGAGGAGTGCAGGGGGATCGTCAATAACTCTGAGTTGAGCAGGAATAATCCTGCGAAGGTCTACTCTGTCGTCGTGGGCACTGGGGGGAGGGTTCTGCCACAGATCGTCGAGAGCATTCTGAAGATCGGACACCTCCAGCTGCTGAGGAGCAAGATCGCTTATGAATTGAATACAGCGTGCAAGTTTGAAGCTAAACACATGGAGGCTGCTCTCAGGACTCTCAACTCAGCTTTGCTTCTTGAATTGAGGAGGAAGGGGGAGGACGAGGTGACGAGGGCTGAGGAGAACAAGTTGATTAGCGAGCTGAGTGTCAGGCTGGACTGGGCTGGCATCAGCGATCATCTTAATAAGACTTATATGAATTTTCCGGAGGGCCATGAAGTGGATTTGATCGCCTTTCTCGTCACTATTTGCTGTCTGCATAAATTGTTTTACTGCAAGAGTACAGGTGAGATTTCTTTGCGGGCGGGGGGGAGTTGATCCAATCGATGGAAGACGTTGGGGAGTCTGAGGGCGATTGGATCTATTTTCCATGACATTTGCATGAGAGTAGTCTACTTGGGATTCAATTTCCTGAGAGGTATTTTTTGCAACTTGCAGCTTGGGACCTATTTTTTTAAGGGTTTTTTCCTTTCCAGCGAGTCTGCTGAGCAGAAAAATTCAAGACCCTGTGGATGCTGTCGTTTTTACTATTGGGGTTCACACTTTGTTGCGGCAATTTGATGTGGAAGTTCTGGAGAATTATATCTCGTTTTTGTGTAAATATGTGATGGCCTTCGTTTCGACTGATGGGTAATTTTATTTTTCGAGTGGAGACTTGAATTCTTAGATTGATGAAGTGGAGTAATGGGTGGATGAATGAATTTTTGTGTTTTTAGGGGGAAAATTGGGAGCGAGTGGGAGGCGGAAGGAACTACGGTCCTCCATTACATCCACCTGATCTCGAAATACGCAAATCTTCCGAAATCCAAGATTCTGAATCACATTCCAGTGATGATAATCGATCACTATAAGAAAGTCAAGTGATGTGTAAATATTTTCAATAAAATTTCAATCAGACATTGCATTACTTTATTCATTTTATTTATTTCATTTATTTTATTTATTTATTGAGCACTAATCCTACAGCCTACGCCAATAACCGGATTCAATATTATTGGATTTCATGGAACGAAATAGTACAGTAGACTCTCGTTATAGTCGCATTTCCCCTCATATCGATTTTTTCGAACTCGAGCGCTTCCCCCACTCCGTACCACCTTCGAGGTGTGGATTTAAATGCCCCTGTGGTTTCTCGGAATGGGCTTTGTTTTGCATTTCTAAGAAATTCGGGAAATAAAATTTAGGAAAAATGAATTTGCGAGAGAGAAATTCAGTTCACTCTTGACTGTCACGAAGAGAGGGTCTTTTGCAGTGGTGCATAATCCTGCTTTTTATTTGAATGAAGCGAATAAATTTTGGAGTGTATTGAACAATGCGATGTTATTAATATTCCTATTCATTTCATTAATTTACTAAAAGTGTTCAACGCAATTCATTTTGTTAATTTAATAAAAGTGTTTAATGAAAATAATTTTTATATTTAATAAAAATGTTCAATGCAAATTGAAGAGAAAAATAATTGGAGTAAAATTTATTTTCTTATCGCTCCCGATTCCCGGAATTTAGGCTTACCGTGAGCGCCTGGTGGGGGAAGAGAAATACAGTCCCATTCTCAGAATCGGCTGCCCCTACAGCCCCGTGAGTGCGACTATAACGAGAGTCTACTGTATTTAAAAATCAATCTCTACACAGCTCGACACATTTCAGTGTCACCACTAGAGACGCAAATGCGTCACATGACCGGTCATTGACGGTCACATGACGAGGCGTTCATGACGGCTGTCACATTCCCCCTCCCCCTTCTGTGACCGTCACAACTTGTCAAGAAAAAATGACAGTCATTTTTCAGCTATATAGATGAAACTTTATTTTTTTCTCGGTCAATTTTCAGTTGAATTCCTTTTGTATTGGCCTAATCCGCATTTTGAAATGGAAATCACGATTTTTTTCCATCCATATAGAGGAAATTATTTTGTTTTATTCATGACCGTCACAAATTGGAAATTAGTTATGACCGTCATTATGCAACTATATAGATGGTTTGAGAACAATTTGGTTACAAATCAGTAGCGAAGCGGTAAACCGGGTTAAGTCGATTTTTACTATCGACTAGTTTTTAACGAATATCTCGGAATCTAAACGAGATAGAAAGATTTTTGTCATGACCTTTTTTGTAGAGCCAATAGAGCGTTATAAAAGAAGTCATGAGAAAAATTTTGCTATCTCTCTTAGATTCCGAGATATTAAGCAAAAACTGGCTAATAGTCCAAATCGACTTGACTCGGTTTACCGCTTCACTACTGAAATGATTTGTGACAATCATTTGTAGTAGGAAAATTTGGGCGTCACATGACCGTCATTTTTTGGTCATATGACACGATCTACATTTAAATTGAAGATTACTAAAATAATTAGAAATTTACGAGTGATATTGACTAAATGACAGCTTCAAAATTTCGTTAATTATGATTTATGAATATGGCAACCCCTGGACCCGATCTCGAAATACGCAAATCCTCCGAAATCCAAGATCCTCACTCGCATTCCAGTGATGATAACCGATCACCATAAGAAAGTCAAATGATGTGTAAATATTTCCAATGAAATTTCAATCAGCCATATTGCTTCACTGAACTCATCCTCGCCGAAGAGCCCAATTTGCAGATTGGTTCCATTACTGAAATCCCAGGAAACGTCAGATAACGACCGAACATGTGGGTCTTTAATAACAACTTGTTATGTTTAGTGCAGTGCGAAGACGACAGCAATCTCACGATCATTCCCAATTGATGAGATACCGTGCGGTAGGCGGCAATGCGGCGTCCGAAGGCGGCAAGCCTGCGGTACGCCGGTAGCGGCTTCACCGTACAAAAAGGAAGGGCTGATCGAATCCTCCATTCAGTTGGAAAATGTCACAAAGGAATGCTACATCCTTGACGAGACATTTTCACTGATAACGCGACGTTTTTTGTGGCATTTCGTTGCTCAGTCTGTGGCATTTGGTGGAATGCAGACCCGGAACAAGTCCGATTGCTTCATGAAAGTGAGATCATTGGGATATTAACTAGCGTGGATCGTACAGTGCTCGAACGAATTGAGTATTATTCTTGCTTCAATACCCACACCAGTTCAAATCCTGCCGCACAATTTTTTTTCTCGAGGCTTTAATAATTTTAAGTGACTGCACAGGAAAAACTAATGTCCGAATTTCTTACACCTTCAGACATTTTTCAGACACTGAAAAACGTCTGAATAAAATGAAAATCTGTCTGAATTTCAAACGCGAATTGAGGTGTTCAGAAATCTGTTCGTCTGAAGTTCAGACAAATTTCCATTTTATTCAGACGTCTTTTAGTGTCTGAAAAATGTCTGCGCAAGGGTCTGAAATTCAGAGTTTCGTTTTTCCTGTGTGGAAAGTACACTTTTGGTATGGGCTCGTTTCTGGTGATGTCATCAGAGCAGGGGCATGACGCAAGCCCCGGATCACGCACACTGAGGAAAATCCGTCGGCGGTTTCAAAGGCGCGCTCGACTTTTAAACGAATTCAAAAGAGATTACTTTATTTCAAAGTCACGCTGTTGAGTCTTTGGAGTCGTATTTTACGACGTGGAAAGAGCGAATCCTTGATTCAATGTCTTCCAAAAACAGGAATCTTTGGTTTAAGGTTCCTCATGTCTTTGATTTCTACATCCATCAAAATTGAAGGCTTAGGCAGTTGACCCACACGGAAAAATTTATATTTTGAAAAATATATAAAAAAATATCTTAAATTGGCCCAATTTATACAAAAAAAAAATATTCTATAGATATTTTTTATATAATAATATTAATACAATAATATTATATATTATAATTATATAATATCATATAATAAAAATATAAAATATCTCAGTAGCGAAGTGGTAAAACGGTTCAAGTCGATTTTGACTATTGGCCATTTTTCAATCGATATCTCGGAATCTAAGGAAGATAGCAAAATTTTCGTTATAACCTTTTTTGTGGAGCCGATTGAGTGCTACAACAAATGTCATTACAAAAATTTCGCTATCTCGCTTAGATTCGGAAATATTACTCAAAAACTCAACTGGGAGATGAGTCGACTTAAACCGTTTTACCACTTCGCTACTGAATTACTTTTCTTCCTCAGGGCATCGCCCTTCTGATGATCCTCGTAATATACCTGAGGACCATAAACGGACAGAATTCCGAGGAAAAATACAACCGGGGGAATGCTCAATTGTCGAGAGCACACGCCCGTGCACGTGAAGTCAGGGGAATTCGACCTGGAAATCTTCAGACAGCACGAGACTTTGGTAAAAGGGATCAGCGCTTTGAAGAAATGAAGGATGTGCAGTTGGATCGGCAAACAAAGAGGTCTGTTACGATCTCAGTAACAAAACGGTGAAACAACTCAAGTCGTCTTGGCTCTTAGAAATTGATTAAACACTGTTAAAAAATTGTCACTGAAATTTTCAGGCTTTAGCCTTGAAATATGAAACAAGTGACGGTTTCATTGAAATTTCAGAGAATTTTGCCATTCAAAATTCATGGTTTTCAGGGAAAATTCATGGAAATTTTAAATTTCAGTTAAATTGTTACATGAAAATTAATGGAAATTAGGAAAATTCAAGTAAAAATCTCGTTGAATTTTCAATTTTTTGAAATTTCAGGGCAATTTCTTATTGAAATGTCGGAATTTTCATGGTTCTTCCACTGAAAAATCAGGAATTTCCTTGAATTTTCAGGAAAACTTGAGGTTTCATGAACTTTTTTCCGTTAAATTGAATTCAGTGTCATTTCCTGGAAAATTCAGTTAAATTTTTTTAACAATGGAGTTCTGATTTATAAAACGTCACTATATTTTAGTGGAATCGAACTACTTCGTTAACCGTTAGTATTTACACTTTGGTTTGAACAGGGAAAATTCACGTTTTCCCCAATAAAATTTCTAGTGCCGGCACTGGATTTTTTTTCTGGCCGTCACTTCGAGCCTCTTTTCCCGTGCTACACGGAGAAAAAAATACATCGTAATTTTGTGAGAATCCTTCCAAAAATTAGTGCGCTGTTCACCAACGCTGGGACATAAGAGAGAGTCATCGGAGAATTCCCATGTGGCACACTAAATTTTACGGGAATCCCCCGAAAAAGTGGCCGGAGTCCCACCAAAAATTAGGGTGCCACTTATGAATTTTTCGACGACCCCAAGTTATGTCCCGGCGTTAGGGGACAGCACACTAGAATTTTTCTAAAAAAAATCTCTCCGTGTATAGTCAACCGAGTCGACACGATGTAAAACAACAATAAAAAAAAATTGAAACTGACTAGTAGGGAAAATCGACTTGAATTGTTTTATCGCTTCGCTGCTGATTTTACGTAATTATAATTACGTGAAATGGGTTGATTACGAGGAATTGATGGGTTTTTAGATATCCCAGTCAATGGTTTCTGGAACAGTTGCGAAGGCATCCCGGAATCACGAGGGAGTATGAGCGAATCCTGTTGAAGGCTGGAGACCGCAGGAATTTGACGACCAAGATCTTGCTTGAATCCATAAAAATTCTTTGATTACTCCACTGATGAATGTTGATTTCGTTATGATTTGGATTGAGGACACGAATAAATGTTCCATTTCAAACGATTTTATGATCATTTTTTTTTCATGAAAAGGAGGAAGAAATGGACCTCTTGTGCTTTTTAAAATCTGTAGTTTCGGCTTTACTTTTTCACTATTCACAAATTTTGTGCTATTAACACTGTGCTGATTCGTTGAATTCAATTTTTACAATATCTGCTGGGTACAGTACACAATAAATCAGTTGACACCGCAAATTATATGCAAATGCAAAAGCAATCTTGGGGGATTCTCTGTATCACAGAAATTTGTTTTGTTTCTTCAATGAAAGTCGCTTGCGTACGTAAAATATCAAGGCACATATGGGTAACATAAACTCCACGAAAATGCTTTGACTTTAGAATCGAAGATCCGAAGAGAATTTTCTTCAATCATCGATATCTGGAGAACCGCAGAGTGAAATTCGGAAATCTGACGGCATTTTGAAGATTTTTCATACTTCTTTAAAATTAATTCAGATTTCAAATGAATAATTGATGAAATCGAGACAAAAAATGAATACAAAGTAAATAAAGAGGAACAATCCCCCATAATCTCCCTTCATTGGCTTTAAGGATATCCAAGTATCTTTTACAGTTTGTTACAGATCACAGAATAGATTCAACTATTTTCAATCATCAAATTTGTCAATTGAGTTGCGTAAGAAATTTTTTTAAAAAATCATGAATCTTCAGGGTCATTCAAACGACATTTTGCACAGAATTCTCATTTTTTTAGACATTCGTTGTTTCTAAATAAATAATTTGATTTGTTTAAACTTCCGAAAAACTTATTTTTCAGGCATGAAATCGATTTTAAATCTAATAAATTTGTTAGGATTTCGAACAAATGATTTTCATGATGGAAAATTGATTGTTTATAAATTATTTATAGAAAATGCTTGTAACTTTCAAAAATCGTAATTTTTACATTGCAATTTCAACCCTAGATTGGTCACTCTATGAGGGAAACCCCGCGGCGCGTCGTTTTTCTTTAATTATAATTGACTAGCTAACCGGAAAAATTGAAAAAAAAATGAACATTGTCAATTGAAGTGTCTAAAAAATGATTGTAGTTTTTAGAACAAGATATTTCCCGAAATTCCTAAAGGAAACAAATTATTTCGAATAGATGAACTATTTTTTCTCATGTTAAATGAAATGCCCATGACGCGACGTTGCCGGAAACTCGCTAAACGCGCTCTGGCGGTGTAGAGTGAATTTGGCAACGCTAAAGCTTAAATGAAACGGCGGGGAATCCCTCGGGGAATCCCCGCGCAGGTGACCCGTCGCAGGGACGCGTTTGGAGACCAGACTTTTCGATTAATTATGTAATTTCTAGCTGGACATGACCGCAGAAAGGCCCACGGAAGGAGTTCTCTTTAATAATTAGAACCGGTTGATAAATCATAAATTTTTCAATTATTTCATCAATCTTCCTTCAAAAGTAAACTTTCCAATTTTATCCAGTTTTTAAAAAATATCTTCTAACGGTTCGAAAACAAGATTTAAATTGAGACCTGCAATGTTTAAATAATAAAATCATTGCAAAAGTCCGGAAACTTTGGGTCAAACGGGGCTCAAATGAATGCTCTGACGTTCACGGAGAGAAATGTTCAGTAAAAATTACGGAACTCACAATTCACTCACCGATTACGAAATCGACTCAGAAAATTTAAGTGACGGTACCGTAATTTTTCACAGGAGATTCAGATAAAAATTACGGAACGCTCCGGAAAAATTCCGCGACAGTTCCGTAAAATTTCCTACAACCACATTTCACTCGGGAATTACGAAAAAGATACGTAATTTTCATTGACTATTTCTCTCCGTGTTCGGCTACAAAAATAAAAATTCATTTCACTGCAGAAAAAATAGCTAAAGTAGTTGGATATCCTCGCGCTCAAACTCCTTTCCCATCAACTCCAAAATCGCATCTTAATATTTCTTCTTCGCCGCCTGCGACGCCCGCCTGTGCGGCTCCAGCGGAATGCAAGTAGCGGCGGAATCGACAGACCCGTCATCGCTAGTGCCCGAAGACTTCTTCCTCTCTTGAGCCATAATTTTCTTCGCGAGTTTTCTCGAGGGCTTCGGCGGCCTCGCAAGCATCGGCTCCGTGTCCCTCTCCGACTGACTCTGCGTCCGGCGGCCCCTCCTCCCCTCGTCCGCCAGCATTTCATTATTCCGATAATCGCTTATCGATTTCGAAAGTCTCTTGGTGACGTCCCTCTCCGGTGAATCGAGCGACTCAACATTATTATTGCTTCTGAGCAGCGCTCCGATCATCTGGCTCGAGAAAAACGGCGCCTGCCGGATGCGTATCGTGTTCATATTCGGACTTGAGTTATCGATAATCAACTGCTCAGTGTCATCGTCAACATCATCAGTGCTGCAAGTTCTCCTGGCGTCTTTTTTCCTCGATATCGATCGACTATTTCGATCCCCGATGTACGACTCACTGTCGATAGAGTCTACCGACTGGGACTTATTCCCAGTTGCTCCTGCAATATCAGAACAACACAGCCACAGTAAAATAAACAATCCCGTGAAACGAGGAAGGGAGGAATGATGCAGTGCACTACTGGATAAAAATAATTTCATTCATCGTTTATTAATCAATCTCTTCGTTGCAAATCTGATCCTGATGTGTGCAAAAATGACTAAGATCAGCGATTAAATGAGGAACAAACTAAATATCACTGTTGAAAATAAATAAAACTCAGTCGTACAATGTCATTCTTACGATTTAAACTTATAACTAAATCTAGATTTTCCGAGTTACGTTAACGGTTGATGTCAATAATTGCCGATAAAAAAATAAAATTTATTGTACGATCGATTAATTGTCAATAATCAACATCAGCCATTAAACAATTAACATGGTATCTCACTCATCGACGTCATCATTAATCACATTTAATCAAAATAATGAGCAGAATCACCTGGTCATTGAGCGAAAATTATATCAACATGGGAAATAATAATGTTGCATACAAATTGTTTAATATCTTGTGGTCGCGTGCAGATCTAGAGCTACAGCCTCATCAAGTAATCGAGCAATTGGAGACATTTCAATTCTCGTGATACTCAGCAATAGTGATAACAATTTCTCATGAATGTCCTCCTCTGTTCCTTCTTCTTCCACTCATTTGGTCGTGAAATTTACATATATACATGAGTTTGCATGATGATTGAAACAGTTTTCCGGAAAAAATGTGAGTATTTTTTTTTCTAATAACAAAGCACGGCCTATTTGCCAACGCGTGCCCATTCATCAACGCAACTAGTTTCAATAGTGCCTACGAGCAATAAATCTATCTGTGTTACAAAAGATTTCATCATTTCCCCTGGTATTGAATGACAACAGCTGTGAGAACAGTGCGTGCGTGAATATCACTATCACTTAAAATTAAAACTAATTAATGATAATTTGTATCTAATAATTAACATCCCTCTGGCATCTACCTGATTCTCTCATATCACTAAACGATTGTGGAAATAACAAGTGAAATAATCAACTATCGTTCACCTACGACGTAAAAAGCAGGGAATGATATGTCTTCAACATTATTAATATTAAATTCATCACGTATTAATTATCTTACAATAATCACCTATTTACAGTAATGAACAATTGTGATACTGAGCGAGTGACATTTCAAATAAAGCGTGTTGTTGCAAATTGCTGATTAGTATCAGAAATTATGGAAAATGAATTATCGTTTGGTTCTAATCAATCTATCTGGAATAATTCACTAGGCTGGAAGTTCTTAGTTCTTTTAAAATCATTTACCGGTATATTGCTTAGTACCACTAAGATTGCCAAAGAGCTGCTGGTTTATGAGGCGAGTTGCTGATGCTAAACTCGTCAGCGATGAGTTTGTTGTTGTGGAAGTAGGCCGGCCACTTCGTAAATCTGCGTAGAGATTATTGTTGTCTTCGGGGGTGGATGTTATGTCGTGCGGTGTGTTTGTTGGAGTTGCTTCAGGATCTGTGGGCGATTGTTGACGGCGTCCTGCACTCTGGAATTGGGAAGAAATGAGGGATCATGTGATGATGTTTTGTATTCTTTTTTATTTCCCCCTTTTCTGTCATTAAGGCCTTCACATGACCTTAGTATGACCTCTATATGACTTTCATGTGCCCTCCTCAAGAACACTCAAAGAGCATTAGAATTAACGAAAGAAAAAATTCTATTGCCCAAGCTGGGAATCGAACCCAGAACCCTCTCAGTACCACGCCGTCTGCTCTTCCAACTGAGCTACCCAGAACTTCCCAAACATTCCTTAATATGACCCGCACATGATCCTACATGACCTTCACATAACCCTCATTTCACCTCACGTGACCTCCACATAACCTTCGTAAAACCTTCCTATGACCTTCGTATAACCCTCATTTTACACCTTGTGACCTCCATATAACCTTCGTTCAACCTTCATATGACCTACATCTGCCCCCCATTCAAAGAACATTACAATTAAGGAAAGAAAAAATTCTACAGCTCAAGCCGGGAATCGAACCCAGAACCCTCTCAGTACCACGCCGTCTGCTCTTCCAACTGAGCTACCCAGAACTTCCCAAACATTCCTTAATATGACCCGCACATGATCCTACATGACCTTCACATAACCCTCATTTCACCTCACGTGACCTCCACATAACCTTCGTAAAACCTTCCTATGACCTTCGTATAACCCTCATTTTACACCTTGTGACCTCCATATAACCTTCGTTCAACCTTCATATGACCTACATCTGCCCCCCATTCAAAGAACATTACAATTAAGGAAAGAAAAAATTCTACAGCTCAAGCCGGGAATCGAACCCAGAACCCTCTCAGTACCACGCCGTCTGCTCTTCCAACTGAGCTACCCAGAACTTCCCAAACATTCCTTAATATGACCCGCACATGATCCTACATGACCTTCACATAACCCTCATTTCACCTCACGTGACCTCCACATAACCTTCGTAAAACCTTCCTATGACCTTCGTATAACCCTCATTTTACACCTTGTGACCTCCATATAACCTTCGTTCAACCTTCATATGACCTACATCTGCCCCCCATTCAAAGAACATTACAATTAAGGAAAGAAAAAATTCTACAGCTCAAGCCGGGAATCGAACCCAGAACCCTCTCAGTACCACGCCGTCTGCTCTTCCAACTGAGCTACCCAGAACTTCCCAAACATTCCTTAATATGACCCGCACATGATCCTACATGACCTTCACATAACCCTCATTTCACCTCACGTGACCTCCACATAACCTTCGTAAAACCTTCCTATGACCTTCGTATAACCCTCATTTTACACCTTGTGACCTCCATATAACCTTCGTTCAACCTTCATATGACCTACATCTGCCCCCCATTCAAAGAACATTACAATTAAGGAAAGAAAAAATTCTACAGCTCAAGCCGGGAATCGAACCCAGAACCCTCTCAGTACCACGCCGTCTGCTCTTCCAACTGAGCTACCCAGAACTTCCCAAACATTCCTTAATATGACCCGCACATGATCCTACATGACCTTCACATAACCCTCATTTCACCTCACGTGACCTCCACATAACCTTCGTAAAACCTTCCTATGACCTTCGTATAACCCTCATTTTACACCTTGTGACCTCCATATAACCTTCGTTCAACCTTCATATGACCTACATCTGCCCCCCATTCAAAGAACATTACAATTAAGGAAAGAAAAAATTCTACAGCTCAAGCCGGGAATCGAACCCAGAACCCTCTCAGTACCACGCCGTCTGCTCTTCCAACTGAGCTACCCAGAACTTCCCAAACATTCCTTAATATGACCCGCACATGATCCTACATGACCTTCACATAACCCTCATTTCACCTCACGTGACCTCCACATAACCTTCGTAAAACCTTCCTATGACCTTCGTATAACCCTCATTTTACACCTTGTGACCTCCATATAACCTTCGTTCAACCTTCATATGACCTACATCTGCCCCCCATTCAAAGAACATTACAATTAAGGAAAGAAAAAATTCTACAGCTCAAGCCGGGAATCGAACCCAGAACCCTCTCAGTACCACGCCGTCTGCTCTTCCAACTGAGCTACCCAGAACTTCCCAAACATTCCTTAATATGACCCGCACATGATCCTACATGACCTTCACATAACCCTCATTTCACCTCACGTGACCTCCACATAACCTTCGTAAAACCTTCCTATGACCTTCGTATAACCCTCATTTTACACCTTGTGACCTCCATATAACCTTCGTTCAACCTTCATATGACCTACATCTGCCCCCCATTCAAAGAACATTACAATTAAGGAAAGAAAAAATTCTACAGCTCAAGCCGGGAATCGAACCCAGAACCCTCTCAGTACCACGCCGTCTGCTCTTCCAACTGAGCTACCCAGAACTTCCCAAACATTCCTTAATATGACCCGCACATGATCCTACATGACCTTCACATAACCCTCATTTCACCTCACGTGACCTCCACATAACCTTCGTAAAACCTTCCTATGACCTTCGTATAACCCTCATTTTACACCTTGTGACCTCCATATAACCTTCGTTCAACCTTCATATGACCTACATCTGCCCCCCATTCAAAGAACATTACAATTAAGGAAAGAAAAAATTCTACAGCTCAAGCCGGGAATCGAACCCAGAACCCTCTCAGTACCACGCCGTCTGCTCTTCCAACTGAGCTACCCAGAACTTCCCAAACATTCCTTAATATGACCCGCACATGATCCTACATGACCTTCACATAACCCTCATTTCACCTCACGTGACCTCCACATAACCTTCGTAAAACCTTCCTATGACCTTCGTATAACCCTCATTTTACACCTTGTGACCTCCATATAACCTTCGTTCAACCTTCATATGACCTACATCTGCCCCCCATTCAAAGAACATTACAATTAAGGAAAGAAAAAATTCTACAGCTCAAGCCGGGAATCGAACCCAGAACCCTCTCAGTACCACGCCGTCTGCTCTTCCAACTGAGCTACCCAGAACTTCCCAAACATTCCTTAATATGACCCGCACATGATCCTACATGCCCTTCATATAACCCTCATTTCACCTCATGTGACCTCCACATAACCTTCGTAAAACCTTCCTATGACCTTCGTATAACCCTCATTTTACCCCTTGTGACCTCCATATAACCTTCGTTCAACCTTCATATGACCTTCGTCTGCCCTCAACTCAAAGAGCATTAGAATTAACGAAAGAAAAAATTGCACAGCCCAAGCCGGGAATCGAACCCAGAACCCTCTCAGTGCCACGCCTGTTACTCGTCCAACTGAGCTATTGAGAACTTCCCTAATGATCTCCTCATAATCCCTTACCTTAGCTACCCTAGTTTTCTTGTGCTTCGGCAAAGTATCAGTTGTCTTTCCCCCTTCACTCTTGGAGAATTCACCAGTGAATAATGATGAATCGAGGGATTTATTAACCCCTATGTCCCGACACTTGTTGTCAGCACTTTCTAATGGATTGATGTAGAGATTACTGTCACCCTCGTCTATTGCATCGCCATCGCCAAGCATCTCTTGCGAGTGAAATGGATGAGTCTGACAACTTGCGTAAGTCCCGGAACTATCCACACTACCGCGATCGTTGTAGGCTGGCTTTGCTGGCTGATAATTCGTTGATGGGGAGGTGTTACTCGTTGTCTCTGGGGGTAATGTCGCGAAACGCAACGGCGATGACATGTGATCCGCGTAACCACTCGTTTCGATACTACTGTCACGCAGGGAACGCAATTCCTGGCGGATTGTTTTACTGAAGTCACTGGTGGCTAGGGGCATTATGTCTTCGGCGTCCCGGTGGTCTTTGTACTCCTAGAAATTGATTTAGATGGTGAAAGGGGTCTCAACGGGAATGGAAAATTTATTATTCATTTTCCAACGGCTTCGTTTTTTCTTCTGGAAATGGGAAGTCACATCACTTTTTTCAAGGACCAGATATATTTGATGGATAAATTCGCCGATTGTTTTTCAATTTCTTTTCTATTTATTGTAAAAATTTGATTTTAAATTCCATACGATTGATTCTGCGGAGGGTCATGCGGAATACGCAAAAAAATCGTTTAAAAATATTGAAAAAAAACAATTATAATGTGAATGAGGGATTCAAAGTCTGGTCACTCTACGCGACTCAGCGACTTTGTCTCCTCCGCGGGAATACGCCGTCGCGTTATTTAGGCTTCAACGTTGCCGAATTTACTCTGCACTACCCGAGCGCGTTCAGTGAGTTTCCGGCAATGTTGCGTGACGGGCCGTTCGATTTCACACTCCGTCAGTCGCGCTATGAGCACCGCGCCGCACTTTTTTCGATTTTTTAAAATTACACTGCAGTAAAGGCTCAGAAAAATTTGAAAAAAATTTGACATTTTATTTTGAAGGGTCTAGAAGCCCTGTCAATGAAAATATCCGCCAAAAATATCGTCAGTAGTTGGATTTTGAAATTTTTATTCCAAAACTCCGTGTATAAGCCAAATTATTAGAAAAACATGGCAACTTTGAGCTCGAATATATAATTAACGATTACACTGAATATGAGAAATTTCATCGGCCTTCATCAATTATGCGGTCTAGATCACTCTTGATTTTTTTCAGATTTCTCCTAGATCTTTCAAATTTATCATTATCTTTTTGCGCGACCAACGGAGTGTTAACATGGAAAATTGACATTCTTCGGTTGGAAATAATTTATTTTCTTTCGGAATTGTGGTAATTATGTTGTTCTAAATCCACTATAATGTGTTTAATTTAAAATTCAATTTAAAAAGTAAGTTTAAAAAAAAATTTCGGTTGCCCAGTCAATAGTAATTCACGAGAAACTACGTTTAAATAAAAAATGAATGATATTGAAAAATGAAAATTTCATAATGTGTCATGCCTGCATTTTTTTTCTACACAAATATGAAATTGAAAAAAAATTCGCTGAAATTTCCCATCAGATACTTGTGGTACTGGAAAAAAGAGCGATGTGACGTCCTTAAGGGCTGGTAAAAGAAATCTTCTTGAATCATCGATATCTCCGGATCCGACGAAGCAATTTAAATAAGTCGCAGCTCATTTTGAAGTCCGAAAAAATATCTTCAAAATAAGAAAACATCGGGAAATTCGACTCTACAGATCTCGAGATATCGACGATTAAAAGTGATTCTTCAGTTTTTCGTGAATATCATTTTTTCTATTGATCCTCTTTCTGTTTGGGGATTAAAAATGTGGAGATGTGCGCATCATCGTGATATCTATCTTCGTGACTCCTCGATAATCCTCTCAATCAGTGCCTTTTCGTGACACTTACCCGTCATTCAGATCTTTCAACATCTTTTGTGTTCAAATGTGTAAGAACGGACTTGAACTCACCTCCGAGTGTCCATCAGTCGAGGCATCAACTAATTTTTGGAAATTTGTCGAAGAGGGTGAATGCACACCGCTGGACACGGAGTGAGGACATTTCTAAATCGATTTCGGTTTTTATAATAAAATCATTTCTCATCGGTGCTAACGACATTTTATGAGGGAATGAGTCTATTACTGGGAATGGGAGTTTAATTGGATGCATTGTTACTCAACTAATGAAAATAATGTTAATATTTGTAAATACCTTGGTGGTACAAAAGCAACACTCGAATTCACTAGGAAATTCATCGATCTTGTCGATTTTTCTTCCGTCTCTCTTATCTTCATCCTATAATATCAGTTTATCATGTATTTTCGGTGCTCGTGAAACTTTTATACTTTTTTTTCTGCTCATTCTCCATCGACAATTGTGCCAACATAATTTTCTACAAGCGTGAATTAATGATATGACGATGACAATTGGTATTTCAATTACTGGGGAGCCGGAGAGACATCAATTCGTGACTCATAATTTCAATTATGAAGTATTCATTAATTTTTTGAACAAGAAAGTGCCACTTTGTGTACCGTCTACTTACCCCTGCCAATAAAAAAGACGTGTTAAGGATATCCAAGTAGTTCGGGCAATTTTTTCGGGGGGAAATCCTCTTCAGAGTTTATACAATAGACCAAGAGTATTTTTTAACTGCAATATCAATCAAATTAACAGCCTCTTCACGGAAAAAAATAAACCTGAATTGACTATAAAATATACTTGATTCAAGTATATTTTATTCTCAGTTGGGGGATGTGTATTTCAATTCGAAGATGATTGTTTTGTATCGGACCGGGTTGTAGCAAGCCCTCTTAAGTGTTATATAAGGGCCAGGCACTAAGTGTCCGAATATAAGGGTCAAAAAGTGTAAGTTAAAAAATGAGGGTCAAAATATTAGGGTCAAAACATTAGGGTCAGAATATAAAAGTAAAAAAAGTGGGTGTCAGGCAATGAGGGTCTAAATATAAGTCATATATTATGCTTGATCACCGTTTTAGCCCTTATATGACCCTCATTGCCTGACACCCACTTTTTGGACTTTTATATTCTGACCCTAAGTTTTCGATCCTAATATTCTGACCCTCATTCCTTCACCTTTACATTCAGGCCCTCAGTTTTTCACTCTAATATTCCGACCCTCATTTTTTAACCTCCCCTTTTTGCCCCTTATATTCTCACACTTAATGTCTGACCCTTATATTACACTTGAGGGCGCTTGGTACAACCCGGGCTCATACGAAATAATCATCCTCGAATTGAAAGACCCGTCCCCCATTCGAGTATAAAATATACTTGAATCAGGTATGTTTTATTCTGTTTAGCAACTGAAAAATTGCTGATTTGAACGAAGTAATTGGACATCCTTAAAGGGTGAATAATGCAGAAATAATACAATAATACAAAAATGAAAAAAACCTTGATTAATGAAAAAAGAATCGTTTATTGAGTGTTTTACAAAGAGTCCCCTGTCCTCATTCTATTCGATTATCATTAATCTCTTGCAAACGTTTGTGCATATAATGCAATATCAACGTAATATCGTCTAACTCAAATAATCCCCTCGGTATTGTGGAATGTTGATCGTATATTTTAGTTGTTTTCGTGTGACACCGGAATGCTCTTCTGCCCACCATCACATTCATCGTTTATCCAATCTCAAGTTTGTACATTGCGATTATCAGGCGCCATTGTCTGAAAAATAGCGACAAACACTGATAATATATTTTCGTCCTCAAGTCCTCATTCTGATTTTTGTCTGTTGTTTTTTTAATGATGAAATATCACTTGAAATTGCTATTTCTTGTTGCTTTATTTATTATTTACAATTCCCAAATATAGGATGAGCTTCTAATTTTGTTATTCATGTCCAATATTTTTCATTAATTGATCGAATATTCATAGATACCTATTACTTCAAACGATATTTCATCGAGCTCTGTTTTTCTGTTAATTCAACTCCTACTTATTGCAATAGCAGCGGCTTTTTACATTCGTCAACAGGAGAATTTTCGCACTAGTTTAACCGGTCGATCGGCATAATTCGGTTTCAACGAAATATCATTAGCAGGCTTCTGAGAATCGTATCGATTGTTGTGTTCCAACTTTCCAATGGTAATGACAGCAATTCGTCCCTTTTGTACACGAAGAGAAAAGTTGGATAAAAATTACCTGGAAAATTGTGGCAACATTTTGCTGGGCGAAAGGTAGTCGTGGAGTGAAATGTAATTCAGTGGAAAAATATCTGTTGGTGGGGGATATTTTACGATTCGTTTGGTAAAGAAATACATCTGTGGATGCAGAAATTATCCTGCGACCGCCTGAAGGTCATGGGGACGAATGGAAGTGACATTTTACCGAACGCGTGCAGTAAATTTTCCCCGGGGCAACAGAGAAAAATTCGCTATTCGTCTCGCAAAATAAATGGACAATTGCACTTTTTAATAAATGAGAAACAATTTCCTTCCGAATGGGTTCTCTTTTTTTAGTTCTTGTTTTGCTATTCTCTTCTTCTATTTTCTCATGTCGTAGTACTATCATCGATTGAAATGTCATCAAAATTTTGCGTATTATTTCGGTCCGTCAAATAATTTTACATTCAGACCCTCTCGAGACTCGAATTTGTTTTCAGTCCGGGTTTAATCAAGGTTCAATCAAGGTTTAATCAGTGTATAGCCGGAATTTAATCAGGGTTTATTCAGGATTTAGCCAGAGTTTAACCCAGGTTCTGTCAGAAGTTAGTCGGGGGCATGAATCAATATGAATAAGTATTCAACATAATAGACTGGTACCTGAGTTTAATAGAGATAGAGATTTTTATATAAAAACCTCATGACGGCATTGTGTAACTTGATAAGCAATGATGCTGTTCTCACCATTTTTCAACTTGATTAAGAAGCCATTGAAATATACTTTTCAAGCCCTGATTTAATTCCTATTACTGATGATTCTTTCAGTAATCATGAAAAACCGATTTTCTCTTTCAAATCGCATAAACAATGTGCTGTAACTCAACAACGAATTGTGCGACCCCCATCATATTCTGATAGAATCAAGAGGGTATTGTTATCAATTTTTTGAGCCATGACTAATTCCATTTTGATGACAATTTTTTCAGTGGTCGTTGAAAAATTGATTTTTGGAAAAATATCAATTTTTTTGAATCTGCATGAAAAATTGAATTTTAATTGGTGTCAATAAGTAGAACTTATTAAAGTGTAATATCTCTATATTATGAAAATTCAAATCGACTTCTGGTGATGAAAATTTGGTACTCGAAACTAGGACTTTATAATGAAGGGTCAGATTAAAGGTCACAAGGGTCATAATGAGGGTTACGAGGTCATGAGGGTCATGATAAGGGTCACGAGGGTCAGATTAAAGGTCAGAAGGATCAAGGTGGTCCAAATAAGGGTCCTGGAAGTCATATGAAACTATATGGGGGTCATATAAGGGTCATATGGGGGTCGTATAAGGGTTGGCGAGCGGATCGAGCACGGGGCGTAGCCCCCTAGTATTATAGAAATCCAAATCGACTTTTGGTGATGATAATTCGGTACTCGAAATTAAGACTTCAAAGTAAAGGGTCAGATTAAAGGTCGCAAGGGTCATAGTGAGGGTGACGAGTTCGCGAGGGTTATAATGAGGGTCTTAATAAGGGTCACGAGGGTCAGATTAAGGGTCAAGGTGGTCCAAATAAGGGTCATGGAAGTCATATGAAGCTGTATGGGGGTCACATTTGAGTCATATGGGGGTCATATAAGGGTCATATGGGGGTCGTATAAGGGTTGGCGAGCGGATCGAGCACGGGGCGTAGCCCCCTAGTATTATAAAAATCCAAATCGACTTTTGGTGATGATAATTCGGTACTCGAAATTAAGACTTCAAAGTAAAGGGTCAGATTAAAGGTCGCAAGGGTCATAATGAGGGTGACGAGTTCGCGAGGGTTATAATGAGGGTCTTAATAAGGGTCACGAGGGTCAGATTAAGGGTCAAGGTGGTCCAAATAAGGGTCATGGAAGTCATATGAAGCTGTATGGGGGTCACATTTGAGTCATATGGGGGTCATATAAGGGTCACATGGGGGGCGTATAAGGGTTGGCGAGCGGATCGAGCACGGGGCGTAGCCCCTTAGTATTATAAAAATCCAAATCGACTTCTGGTTATGAAAATTTAGTACTCGAAATTGAGACTTTAAAATGAAGGGTTAGATTAAGGGTCGCAAGGGTCAGAATAAGGGTCTAAATAAAAAACATATGGGTCATATGGAGCCATATAGGGGTCACGTGAGGGTCACATGGGGGTCATATGGGGGTTGGCGAACGGAGCGAACAGGGGGCGCAGCCCCCTATTCATGAAAAAATTTATAAAATTCGATTGATCCCTTTTAAGAAAATTTAGAAAAAAATGAAAATCCATCCACACATACAGACACCATCTGAAAATCGAATTCGCTCCACAATTACTTGACTTGTTCGGTAATTTTTCTCCAACTTTTTTCTGTGCTTTCCCCTATTCTCTCCTCGTTAAAACAAAAATTGAGTCAATTGACTGGAATTGTTTTCTCATTTTTGTCTACTGAGAATCGTTTATCCGTAACTATTATGAACATAATAGTCTTGCAATGCGAATGCATTTGTCATTGACTCACTTTACGGAAGCCTCTGACTTATAGCACTGAAAATAACTGGGCATTAAGCCCGTGAAAATGGCAAACTGTTTCACCTTAGTGTTGTATAATCGATGGAAAATTGTTGATTCATGGGTTTAAACATAGACACAAAGATTGTAAAAATGTATTTTAGCTTCAAACTCTATCGATTTGATCCACAAAGTTTCACCGAAAAACTGCTATTAAACTTTGGCCTCACTGATCCTAATCCAGTTAATCATAGCTGATATTACCAGTCACGTGAGGATATCGATTATTAAGTCCTTGAAATAAAAAAAAACATTCTGTCTGGAGTTACGTCTAAGAGTTTAGCACTTGTTCTTGGGGTTTGTGAGTTAGTAAACGTCAATCTAACTTTAAACTATTCACTTGTTTTTGAAGAAAATAAAAAGCACAAGTTTCGCTGCAAAGTGGCACATTCTTGAGACTTTTTAGGGACATGATAATCTAAGGCTGATTATATTGCTAACAAGCGCTTGGATAACGTCTGGTATTTTTTTAGAAAGAGAACAGGTTGCCATCCACAGCTGGAGAATATTTTAGGGAAATGGCTATTTCGTGATTTATTTTTCCATTTGATTATTTTTTGATGAATTGTAAAATGGACGAGTAGAAAAATTTGAAATTTCCCAATTAATTTACACTTTTCTCATCGTTTTTTCAAAATAAAAATAAATTATTATAAAAAAATTTTATGATTATTTTTGAATGAATATTAAATATAAAATGGATGAGTAAAAAAAATTTGGAAATTCCAAATCAATTCAGCTTTTATTATTATTTGTTAAAATAAAAATGAAGAGGCAATTGAAAATCTTTCAAATAGAATTGTTTAAATTTTTTAAATATTTCGTGAGCTTTTTTTAAAATGAAAATCGTTATTTCGTGTTTTATTTTTCCATTTGATTATGTTTTAATGAATTTTAAAAATCAAGAGGGAATTGAAAATCTTTCAAATGGAATTATTTAAACATTTTTGAATATTTCGTGTGTCATTTTTTATCACTGACTGAAATAATAAATTATATTTGAAACAGAAATGGCAATAATATTTTATCCAGCTCTGGAGGCTTCCTATGTATCTGATGACCACACTTTGTCGAGTGATGATACCATGAAACACTTTATCGTAGTGAATAATAGAATCTCGTGTTACGATGAGGGTCGACGATTCCTTTGAATATTCAGAGGAGTGACAGCTGTTCTTCTTCCAAACTATACCATACGTTCTTTACGAGATTATTTTCTCCCACTAGTTTATTTACCGACATGTTGGTCTATTCTCGTTGATTCGATTTTTGACGAGTCTGTCGGGCTCCTCAATTCAATGATTTTTTGGGTATGAGGTGTCATGATCTTAGCGTAAGCGATATGTATTAATTGCTGCACATCAGCTGAACATTCTAATGATGTTGTTGATTGTTGTTGATTAATTCTTTTTCATTAGTTGCGAAAATCTCAATTTTAATAAATCAAATTTCATTTTAACGCCTGAAAAAATTTCACTCTCTCGAGGTTCAGTTAGTGACGATTCAAAATTGTACGATTTTTTCTCTCAATTCAATTCAGTAGCGAAGCGGTAAAACAGTTTAAGGTATATCCCAACATAATACAATCCAAAAGTTAGTCCCCACGGATTTCTGGAAAAAATTCTCAATGACTGAAGGATATCCAAGTGCTTTAGCCATTTTTTCTCCAGAAAAACTTTTCTAAAAAACTTACTAAAGTAGTAGTCGACTATCAGAGCTTCCATTGAAGTCCCATTTGACCTTCAATCTGTCCCAAATCGTAACAAATTCATTCATATTCAGAATTTTACCGGAAATCGGTTTCATACCTAAAAAAATAGTTTTCGAACAACGAATGTTAAAAAAAATAATATAAATAATGATAAATAATTTTCATTTTTAAGTGCAAAATGTAGTTGGAGTGACGCTCAATATTCATGATTTTTTTCAAATTTTTTTCACGCAATTGGCAAAACATGAGGACAATCGTAAGAACAACCTGCTTCCTCGGGATATACCTTAACCGACTGCAGCGTCTCACGGTACCCCACTTCTCGCCGTTTGCAGTGGTGTGCGTGCGCCAGCGTGCTTCTCTTACGGCGCACTAATCTCGGACGGACCCCCCCACTCCTCTCACACCGAGACAACTCGAGACTTACGGGAAGCAATGGGTTAAGTCGATGTTGACTATTCGCCAGTTTTCAATGAATATTTCGGAATCTAAGGGAGACAGCGAAATTTTTGTCATGACCTTTTTTGTAGCCCTCTATTCGCTCTACAAAAAAGGTCATTACAAAAATTTAGTTATCTCCCTTGGATTCGGAGATATTCCTCAATAATTCAGCTGAGTCTTAAATCGACTTAAATCGTTCTACCGCTTCACTACTGAATTGAACAATTTCTGTTCAGAACAATTTCTGTGCATTTTTATGTACGAAAAATCGCAACCAATGAGAATGTTTCGCTCCCCCCAAATGATTCGAGATGAAGCAGCAAAAAATCATTCAAATTCCGCAAAAAAAATTCAAAAAATGAAAAATATCAAAAAATTTTAACAAGAAAAAAGTTGAATAGAAACTTACACTAGGCGTTGTATTCCCATGATTAGAGTGCTGGGCTGGCAAATCATCCTGATAATAATCATCATCATTCTGACTCCCGGGTATATTCTGCGCGAAATCAAGCAATCGGCGACTGGGACTGTCCGGAGTTGTTGGCAGATCATTCGGTATCGCTGGAAAACACGATGAGGCACTTCTACGTGTACGTGACATACTGTAATGCTCGTAGTTACGATAACATCCAGCACCAGTTTGTGCTGGACCCCTTTCACATGCTGATTCACCCTCTGTACTGTTGCCATCGGCACCAGACATGTTGTGACCTTGAAAATGTCAGTTAAAGAAAGGAAAATAACGAAAGAAAATGATAAATTTATAATGAAGTTTCTGGAAATAATAGTCGTAAGTGAATTGAAATGATTAACATAGAGGTACGAACGTATGGAATCAATAGACAAAAATAAAGGAAAGAGAAGAATGCGTGATGAATTTGTGAAGTGCATGATTATATGAATTACTATTTTTAATTAATTATATTTATTTGCGGTGACACGGCTGTAGTTTTATTGATGTGGGGTATTTTGGGAGAAAGTCTTTATGCCACTGCGCCATCTATCGGAATTCTAGATAATTCAACATTTTTCTAGAAAACTCGAGCAAATTTTCCGGTTTTACAAAAAATCCTTGGGGTTTTTCCAAAATAATATTTGGAAAAGGTCTCTATGGCAAAGTGCCATCTATCGGAATTCTAAATGATTCTAAATTTTTCTAGAAAATTCGAGAAATTTTTTTCGTTTTATACAAATTTCTTTAGTTTTTTTCCAAATAATCTTGGGAAGAAATCGTTATGCCGCAGCGCCATCTATGAGATGGTAATGTGTCCCACGACTGATGCTCTTCGTTTGGGGGTATTGAAGAGGGTGCTTTTTGAGTTTGCCCACGTAGATATCCCGGGGACAATACAGAACGTAAATATACCTGTTCAGTCTCGCATAGATGAAACTGTCGGAACTAAAAATGTAAGATAAACTAAAATATTCTACGTACAAATAACCGTTTCTCGTCCAGCCAAAATTCCGTTCTCAAGGTCATAAATTACCCCATCCTTAGAATTCCAGCCGAAAAGAGAAAAAATTAGGAACTCTCCACTCTGAGAAATACCAGAAATCTCGTACAAGTCATAAAACCCAAGCGCACGGAGGGACCTTTCATACCCTTTTATCGCTACTCTTGGGACTACTTTCTCCGAGGGCCCCAAACTCATGATGAGGCTGCTTCACAGACCTTCATGCCCTCCCTAGAAATTCACCAATTAGAAAACTGAGAGAAAATTTCTGCAAAATCATTTGTCCTCTGTAACCCTCACTCTCAAAATTTGTATTTCAAACACCCCTTTTTCCTCACTTACTTCAGAACGACAGAAAATTTAGTTAATTAGCTTCACGACATCGCAGATAAGACACTATTCTCTATACTCTGACGAAATCAAATCTTCACACCAAATATCCGTAATTTAGTTCAGTATTTTAGTGATTTGTGTAATCAAAACTGTTTTCAAAAACTTTATTAGTGTTATATAATCCTTACCGCAGTGTACAAATAATTTTAAACTTGTGTAATTAATGTATTCAAACTTTACCTAGTGTATGTGAATTGTATTTTTCATCTCATCGCATCTACCTCAATCTACCCAAGACATTTTCATCACGCTATGACGAAAAGTGGACTTTTAGGCACGCGGAGCGTGCCACATTGTGATGAAAAATATTGTTCGTAACTCGTGAAAAAATGTTTTTTAGCTCGTGGGATTATATCACTCGCCTTCGGCTCGTGATATAAACCCCCCATTCGCCAAAAAACACTTTTTTGCACTCGTTACGAAATATACTATTTCGTACTAGGGGGCTTCGCCCCCTGCTCGCTCCGATCGCCAACCCGGGGGGGGGGCTTTGCCCCCCCACTCGCTTCGCTCGTTCCCCCCCCCCGTCCGTGTGACCGCAGCAGTGTGACCGTACCCATAAACATCTTCCATATGAGCACCCCCTCATATAGACATCTCTTATAAATACACGCACCTCCTCCTATAGACACCCAGCGCCCCCTGAACTTGAGTGTCCCCTAAATTTTTCGCCTTATTTTTTTATTTATATAGAGAGATATAGAGAGATTACTCCCCGCTAGTGCCCAGTACGTAAGTTCGTGTCGCCGTACTGAGATCAGTATATCTGGGATTTACAACCCCAGAGAAGAGGCTCACAAATAAAAAGCCACACGCAAATACTGTCTTTTATTGAGGAACTTCCCACCAGTGATAGGCATATCAATCAATCATAATTACCGTTAAATTGTGACGTTGTCAATTTTCAACATAAATCTTAAAAATTTTAAATATTAAAGTGACCATCAATTTCTACATTTAAATTTCTAAATATTCAATCAACCATTAATTTAGGTAGGAAGACTGACGATTATTTGGATAATCGGAAATCAAGTACCCCAAGTTAGAATTAGCTTGTTAACTAAAAATAACATTTCAGTATATCAAATATTTCATTCGCCATCAATCGAAAAATTTATCTAATAAATTCCATAATATTTTAAATTTGTTAAATATAGTTAAACTCTGAACAATATAAGGAGATAATCCTTTAAATATTGTCAAAATCTAATATTATTGCCTATCCCTGCTTTCCCCCTCAAAAAGCACCCTCTTCAATACCCTCGAAAGAAAACTATCGCTCATGCACGGGGAGAAATTTTTGATAAAAATTATCCTACCGTTCTATAAAAGTGTATCATGAGTCATCGTTTCCTCATTTCTATCCCGAAATTTAGTAAAAATTAATATATGATGATCAAAGTTTATTCTACGTTTGAGAAATTTTATCCTGACGCATAACAAATTTTACCCTTCCAGTCCAATAATTTTTATGTAGATAACAACGAAAATTCTAGAACGGTTGGTAAATTGTACCCTACCGGTACATTAAGGATGTTCGACACCCTTTTAGCCAAAATTGACGTTGTTTTCATTTTTCTGGCAAATTCTCGATGGGAGTGACGTGAAAAAGTATAACGATTTTGTGGTTTGTCATTCTTTAATGGCTCACGAAGTTGCGTAGTGGTGCGATAATTTTCATGCGATTTTTCTACAGTTTTGTGATTCTTTTTAAAAGTTTAGAGAAAACGCAGAAAAATGTTCGCACCACCTTAACATTTCGTCAGTCATTAAATAATGACAAAACGCAAAAACGTTATATTTTTTCACGTCAATTCCATCATAAGTTTGCCAGAAAAATTTAAAAAACGTGAATTTTGGCAGAAAGGATGTAGAACATCCTTAATTTTTACTCTGCCGGCACAGTAATTTTTATTTTTATCAGAATAAAATTTCTCTAACGTAGAATAAAATTTGATCATCATATATTAATTTTTACTAAATTTCGGGATAGAAATGANTGAGGAACCGATGACTCATGATACACTTTTATAGAACGGTAGGATAATTTTTATCAAAAATTTCCCTCCGTGTGGGACCGTGCATTGCAGAAAATTCGCAATTTTTCATTCACGAAAAACAGCAAATGAAACAACATCAAACACTTCGATTAGTCTCCGATTGTTTCAGTTCCTACATCCTTACCAGTGTCAACGATGACATCGATGAGATCCATACTCTTGGCAAATGCATCCCTCAGATTGATATGATGAAATGAAACAATGCTCCCCTCCCTCTTAGCCCTCTCAAGTGCCTCGCGCCTCTTGAGTGCCTTCTCCCGTCTCATCTGATTCTTGTAGAACTCGGCAAAATTATTGACGATAATGGGAATAGGCAACGCAATTACCAGGACACCACAAATACAACAAACACTTCCAATCACTTTTCCAAGAGGTGTCGTAGGATAAATGTCTCCGTAACCTACTGTCGTCATGGTGATTCCAGCCCACCAAAACGTCTCCGGAATGCTTATAAATTTGGTCCCGGGCTCCTCTTTTTCCGCAAAGTATGCAAGGCTCGAGAATATAAGTACTCCCATTGCCAGAAAGAGCATCAACAGCCCGAGCTCTTTGTATGAATTTCTCAGTGTAAATCCAAGGCTCTGCAGCCCAGTCGAGTGACGGGCTAATTTCAATATTCTCAGTATACGCATTATACGAAATATCTGTACAACGCGTCGTACATCTTGAAATTGATCAGTTGCATTTTTGTTTGTTTCAACGAGAAACAGTGATACATAGTACGGTAATATTGCTAATAAATCAATGACATTTAAACTCCCTTTGAAGAATTTCCATTTGTCCGGCGATGCACTGAATCTAAGTACATACTCGAGGGTAAACCATGTTATGCATATTGCCTCCACCATGGCTAGTTGTGGATTATCTTGGAAATTTCCTCTCTCATCGTTCACTTGCATACTAGGAATGGTGTTGAGTGTTAGTGCAATCGTTGATAGCACAATAAACAGTATCGATATCACAGCTATCACCTGTAATTTTACATCAACACCAATTTCATTACCTTCGTCTCTTTCATTTTATTTTTCATTTCCGTTATTTTTCGCGGTAAACATCGATACACCATCTCTTTGCTTATTGCCTCGGGGGGCTTTTTTTGTCGCCTGGCATACTTTGGAGGACCAAATTTCTTTCAGCCTTCGCATCGGGATTTATCATCCCTCTAGAACGTAGTATTTTTTCTACGATCACCTCCTCCTTTCTTAGAGACTAATCTGCCATTTTGTCATTGCGTTAGTGCACTTCGGAGAGCGTTACGTTTCTGTATATTACCATAACGCCTCAAGCTCGAAATTTTTAGCGGCTAATATTGTCATCTTGAATTTTTTTTCGGGGGAATTTTTATTTCTTTGCTGCATAACAGAAATTATGCGTGACCTTAGCAGACATAGAAGCGTTATAAGCAATACACAGCCCATCCAGAGTTATTCATATTCATAATTTTTGGTTTTTGGTACGAGGGATCAAGCATATTTATGTACAGATTCGGTAAGCGGATATTCAGACGAAAATGAGAGGAAGTAAGTTTATGGAAATAAATTGTAAGCGGAAAATCGTGAAGTCTTCTTCATCGTCAATGAATAATATTGGAGGTACGAAACGACTCTTGCCGAAGCCCTCTGAACTGTTTAAGGTATTTATGGCGGGGCGGGCGTGGGGGAGGCGAGATCGGGGGGACCAATCGCTGAACAAAAAAAACGACATTTCAAGTACAAATTTTGAATCTATTTCGAACGTTTTTCGGGCTTTTTAATAAATTTCCTACATATTTCAGAGCTTTTTTAGTTTTCTAGCTTGTCTTTTGGATAATTGGAAAATAATTAATTGGGTGGAAAAGTGATAGCGTCGGGCCGTTCGCGGTACTAGTTGGCAGCACTGATGCACTCAGCTGCACGGAGAGAGATTTTCTAGAAAAATTCTAATACGAGTACTGGAAAAAATTACAATCCGCTGGCTGTGAAAAATTCACGTTTTCCCCAATAAAATTTCTAGTGCCGGCACTGGAACTTTTTCCTGGCCGTCACTTTGCGCCTCTTTTCCCGTGCTGGCACTAGAATTAAAAAAAAAATTCTTCGTGTGTTCACGTATGAAAAAATTCAATAGGAAACCTAGCGAATTCGCTAGAAAATTCTATTCGAATTCTATTGAAAAATTCTATTAATTTTTTTCGCTGATTTTACTGGATATTCGATAAGAAAAAATCAATACATTTCGAATTTCTGTTTGAATTTTTCCCTTGAGATTTTTTTTATACGAATGCTTGGGCATCAATTTTATAAGTTGTTTCCACTCGGATTGTGCAATGCAAAATAAAACAAACTCCAGCGGAAAAAACTTGGGAAATTTGTGCCCAATCATTCTAATAGAAAAATCTCGAGAGAAAAATTCGAACAGAAATTCATAATATGTCGACTTTTTCCTATCAATTTTTTCTATCTCTGCGTAAGGAATTGTTTATAACATCATAACTCGATAAATATTGGTTGTATCAGAAAAATTATGAAGCACTTCTTCATGGCCAAAGTGTGATAGATTTATGTAATAATTTTATTTGAGAAAGTCCAATTTACAATACGTTCGTTAATAAACAAATTAGAAAGTTGATAAAAAAACATGTTTGCAGGTCTCAAAAATTCCGAAAAAAAATGTGTTATCGAGTGCATATGAGAGAATTCACTGAATTCACTACAGAGCTTCTAATTAATTCTCCTAGGCCACTTGAATTTTTTTTATATTCCTCCATGAAAATTAAAAAAAAAATCAGGAAAATGGTAATTTTTTAAATTCTATTAAAATTTTTTTTTCCGAATTTCCATAAGAGCCCATGTTACATTGCACTTTTTAGAGAAATTTCTGTTTCGCCCATTCTCCCAGCCTATCTGGGATTTTGAAAAAAAATCAAAGAATGTATTAAAAAAAATTATCAATTTCTTCACTTTTTTTTACCACGCCATAAATACCTTAATGTCTCCGATCAGACGCTCCCATACTCATCAGGCATTCTCATTCATAAAAATTCTGAATGTTCATTTGACGATATTTTTTACGCCAGAGGCTGTAAACCCTCGTGAGTGAGGGTTTAACATCCCCGAGCGTATAAATATATCGTTTATATGAACATCAGAACACCATTCGCACGATTATTTCTCAGGCTCTTTAATTCGACTAATTTAATTTCGTTAATTCCATACGAAAATTGACACTCAACGATATTACGATTTTAATCGAATAAACTCCATGAATTTAAGTTAGTATTTTGTTAATTAAGTAGTGAAGAGATAAACCCGTTTGAATCGATTTTGACTGTTGGCCACGTTTCGTTGAATATCTCGAAATCTAAGGGAGACAGCAAAATTTTCATCCCAACCTTTTTTGTAGCTCTCAATTCGCTCTACAAAAAAGGTCATGACAAAAATTTTGCTATCTCCCTTAGATTCGGAGATATCCCTCGAAAACTCAGCTAGTGCCAAACCGACTTGAAAGGTTTTATGGCTTCGCTACTGAATTTAGTTTCAGGAGTCGAAGGAAGTTAATAGCACAGCCATGGCAATATCTAGTCTTCAATCTGACGAGTGTCGACGGTACATGAAGAGCAGATTAACGAGCCTAGACAGACCCACACCGATAATGTCCCCTCAAGACCCCGTTCCAGGGAATTTCAAGCAATCGTGTGGTAATTCAAACGAAAAAAAAAATCCACGCGATTAAGAGCACCTCATCAGCACTCGAAAAAGCAGAACAAAGATAATCATAATTGGATTACCCCCACGCGATTACTTGGACTCGGGGGTAGGGAGCGGTGTCGAGAGAAAGGACGCACGTGATACCTGGTAATTGCATATGAACCCTCCCATTATCACCAATTACATTGAAACAACGACGACAATTTATTTATCAAAACAATGAATATTCTCTTGTTCATTTACGATAAAGCTGTTGAATAAACAATTAATAATTCTGGTACTCGGCACCTAGAAATCAAATGACAACATTACATGGGACTACGGTTAAGACAATATTGATCTGTGTTGCTTCCACGAGTTTAAGTATTCCCCTGATATTTTACCAAAGCACCATTGACACATGAATGACAGAAAAAATAATCGATACATTATGCAGTGTGCAGTGTGTGTAGCATATTTGGCGCGCAATATAGATTTAAATGAAAAGAAATAATATCGTGAAAGCTGCGGAAAAAATACATATTCAAGCGGAAATTTTAAAAGACTAACAATTGACTCTTCAATCGTCAATAGCTTCGCACCCAACGATGCGATTTCGACGAGTCGGAGTTTGTTTCAAAGCTCGGAAAGATTTCTTGAAAATGAGCCGAAATTCGGGAGAATCGACTCTGCCGGTCGCGAGATATTGACGATTGAAGGCGGCTCTCATTCTCTGGTGCTTCCTCTCGTATTGAGGTGGGAATTGGTGAACGTATTTTGCATTTTGTAACGTCTTTTCTCGTGTAAATATAGAATTTAACAACCTTTGTGTAAGTAAACTATAAAAATTTGGGATGTCTGGTTTTCCAGCGTTACCCACTATCAACTATTTATCGAGTTATTTAAAAAGTTTAATGCTCGTGTTTATAATTTTATGTAACGAGTGCGTGGTGTGTTATATATTCAATGAAATGAGGTAGATTGTTGTTTACATTCAGAGATGGTATATACTATCACTAGAAGCTGACAAATACGTACCGAGTATTTTATTATTTCAAGGAGATGGTGCGAAATTTTTGACTTTCGAGTGGACTAAGAGAAAGAATTTGCTCTGCCAAATTTATTTGAGGGAAATTAAATTTAATAGCTTTCACAAAAATTAAATTCCCCATTTGATCTGGGAGAACTCCATAGGTTTATACCATAGAAAGAATACATTGACGAGGAGAGAATATTGTTTTCCCAAAAAAATTGTCCCCTCGAAATTATTTAGTTTTGCCAACAACACAGTTTTCGGCGAGAAAATTGTAGTTTCCTCTTGAAATTATCATTTGTTCCATGGAAATTATAAGCGTTTATTGGCCAAAGATATACACTACTCAATAACATTCACTCGATAAAACCGGAGCCTCATATAATTCTCTGTAGAACGAATGTATTCACCCGAAGACCTATAAATGTCTCCCGAGAACAATTACTACTACGAAAATTATCCTGTTTTGGTGGAAACTTTCTTTTTTGTCCACAAGTAAATTGATTGAACACGACAAAAGATCTCTTCAGGGGAACATATAATTTTCCGGCAGAAGATAGAAGGAAATTTAATATCTTTCACAAAAATTAAATTTTTGTCGTGATTATCAGAAATATCCCTAGAAGAATTCGAACTGCTGGCATGAAAAAATATACTCTATTGTACGACAATCATTTGATCTGAGAGAACTCCATAGGTTTATACCACAGAAAGAATACATTGACGAGGAGAGAATATTTTTTTCCCAAAAAAATTGTCCCCTCGAAATTATTTAGTTTAGCCAACAACACAGTTTTCGGCGAGAAAATTGTAGTTTCCTCTTGAAATTATCATTTGTTCCATGGAAATTATAAGTGTTTATTGGTCAAAGATATACACTACTCAATAACATTCACTCGATAAAACCGGAGCCTCATATAATTCTCTGTAGAACGAATGTATTCACCCGAAGACCTATAAATGTCTCCCGAGAACAATTACTACTACGAAAATTATCCTGTTTTGGTGGAAACTTTCTTTTTTGTCCACAAGTAAATTGATTGAACACGACAAAAGATCTCTTCAGGGGAACATATAATTTTCCGGCAGAAGATAGAAGGAAATTTAATATCTTTCACAAAAATTAAATTTTTGTCGTGATTATCAGAAATATCCCTAGAAGAATTCGAACTGCTGGCATGAAAAAATATACTCTATTGTACGACAATCATTTGATCTGAGAGAACTCCATAGGTTTATACCACAGAAAGAATACATTGACGAGGAGAGAATATTGTTTTCCCAAAAAAATTGTCCCCTCGAAATTATTTAGTTTTGCCAACAACACAGTTTTCGGCGAGAAAATTGTAGTTTCCTCTTGAAATTATCATTTGTTCCACGGAAATTGTGTTCATTGGACAAAGAGAGAACTCCATAGTACCGGGAAACATAATTTTTCGGCAGAACGAATTTTCCTCTCAGCGTGACTAAAAACCGGCGTGCTGTGTACCATCTTCTTAAAACCACATGGCAATACGAGACTGAGGTGTCGACTTACCCTGGCAGCGATGGACGTTGTTGGTTTTTCAAGCAAGTCCCACAGCCACTTTTGATATTGCGCACACTTTCCGTCTCCGAATTCCTCCTCCTCTCTTTGCCGCAATGACTCAGCCTCCTTCCGCATCTCCTCATGGACATGTTCCTTTCTCTGATGATACTTGTGCTGACAACAACTCTCTAAGTACAATTCATCTACACCCCAGTATTCCAAATCATCGCTAAATGCCAATACACACATTTCATCGACCAAATGTAATTTACCAGTACGATAGAAATTTAATATTGAGCTGAATGATTTGGGATGACGATCGAAAAAATATTCATTATCAATAAGTGAATAATCATCGCACAATTCGGTTATAGCCTCGTGTGTATTGCAATCACGTAAACGTCCTAATCGCGTGTGTGGTAATCTCTCAAGTGTACGCCATAATACTTCGTGCTTAACACCACCAACATTTATTGATACACGTCTATTGAGTGCCTTTGATCGCATGATCATGAAAGGCTCGGGGGGTAGTGAGGTCATGGATCGGGAGTAAGTCCGTTGCTGCATCTGAAGAGGAAGAGGAAGTGGCGGTGCCGGTGGCGGTGGTAATGGCGGTGGCAATGCTGGATTGACACCCGTGAATTGTGCATAACGTACTTCCTTATTCCAACCGACATTGCCCGATTGTACACCTGATGAAAGTTTAGGGGTTTGTTGCATCGTTGTATTGTTATCAATGTCATAGGGATCATTTGGCTGTACGAGGTAGGCACCTGAACACATTCCTGATACGAATCCATTGCCATTGCGATCCCCTTCCACTCCCGCTTCTTCCTCGTATCTTTTGTCGTTCAGCATCAGCTTCCTTTGACACACTTTGGGTAGTTGTGGCTTCTTGGAGGAGGGGGCTGGGGGATCGGTTCACGATGACTTCGGAATTATCTCTGTCAATAATTTTTTTTTTCTTTATTTTTGCCGTTACATTTAACGACAGCTGGAGTTTTCTGCTCATCCGTCGGCGCAGCACCTCTCTGCCACCGTCATTGATGTGGCTCGGAGCCACCTCATAATCTGTAAACAATTCGACATATTATTTTTGACGTGGATACGTCTAGGGTTTCAATTTGGCGGGGCTTTTTGGGCAACGATCCTTATGTGCAGCGCCATCTGTCGGAATTCTAGAAAATTCTAGACATTTCGAGGTAGTTCGAGAAGTTTTTTATTATCGTTATTTTACATCGCTTTGACCCGGTTAGCGTATGCTGCGATGATGATCAAGACTTTAAAAATGGTTAGATCTCACCATTCTACCCGGACGGGTTTTGACCTCGGAACCTTTCGCGTGTGAGGCAACGAACTTCCCTAGTGGAACATAAGGCGGAGGCGTAACATGCGTGATCAGAATTTCGGATTGGACCTGATCAGTTTCTGATCGAGACCTGAACAGAATTTCCACTCAGGTATGAGTCAATTTGAGAGTGAAATTGGTAAGTGTCCTGGTAGCTCAGATGGTAAGAGCACCCGACGCGACATTGAGAGGTCCCGGGTTCGATTCCCAGCTAGGAAGTTACTAATTTTTTCTCTCAAAAAAAATTAAATTTAATTAATGCCTAATGATGGTAAGCAGAGAAACCCTAGTGGAAGAACATAAGGCGGAGGCGTAACATGCCTGATCAGAATTTCGGATTGGACCTGACAGAATTTCCTTGATAATGCCTTTTTTTTCAGAGGTGATTTTTCAAAAATTTATTTAAAAAAAAGTACTAACTAGCAAATGTTTTTTATTAGCTCGCAATTTTCTTCAAAACTACTTCAATGAGGAAAAAAATAAAAATTTGGAATATCTATACATGAGGGGCTAATTGATCGGATCTCATCTCGCGCAACCAAGAATGAGCATGTGTAGCCGTGTACATATACGGCAATCAGCGTCACCTATTTGGGTTTGAGGGCGAAACTGAGGTGATGAGGTCGTGTATGTACACAACACATTCAAAGCAATAACTTACACATAGAGAAATGCGCTACAGACTAACAGGTGAAGTCAAGGTGTTACTCTAGAATGCCTCCTTAACCTTACTCTTGGAAGAGATCGTTGAGCGGTCCCCAAGGGTTCCGACCTTACTATTATTTACTCGTTAATGACATCACTAAGCGACCCTCGAGGGTTCCGACTTCACCTCGAAGCTATACAAACTTTTCCTAATCGCTCTACAATAGTGCTCCCTCTAACCAGAGGGTGAGCTCTACTGCAGTCCAGAATCATGCTAAGTAGACGAAGGGAACTAAGGATAACAGTCTTCTGTATTTGGCCAGCTAAGACTAAGGCATTCCGTTTGAAGGATTGCTTCATTCTCCCAAGAGAACCAATACTGAGTACATTTAACTTTACTTTAAGGGATAACAGAAGAATTATAGAAGAATTATTTTCAATTATTCATCACTGTGCAGGGGATACTCTTTTTTGTAAAAAAACGGAAACGTTTTTTATCATAAATCTATTCTCCCATGCTTGACTTAGGAATATCTTGAAAGAAATATTGATAGGATACGGTATATTGAATATTTAATTCGTAACAAATTTATATATCAAAAAAATATATTTATAGTAATGAGAAATAAATGAATGGCATCAAAATCATCAATATCATAGAGCCATTAATGTTCTGTTCGATGTATAAAAATAATCAATTGTTTCTTCTCATTGTTATTTTTATGTACGAACAATAGCACAGGTGGATGTAATTAATGGTAGAAAGATAATTGGTGCGTGTCATTAAATATCTAGTCAGAAGGTCGTGAGGGTTTTTCGGTGCAGCTTGGGGAATCCGTTTTCGAGCTAAAATTAACGTCAATCGATTTTACTCAGAGGAAATAACACCTTGAGCGATCGATTCCACTACGACTGTATTTTCCAATTTCACTCTACGACTTATTTTTCGATGCTTTGTTTACGCCTCAGTCGGAGGCTTCAATAATATTTAATGACGTTTGATCACGCATCCCTGAGTCACTGAGACACCGTCACTTTTAAATTGCAGTTACTGAATATTTTCCACGGCCTTGAGGCTCTCTGGGGTCTACACCTCACGTTTGTGAACATCTTGGTGGCAGCGTGACATTTCAGCCTAGCCTTCAGATATACCGATTTCCATCGCTATCATATTTTTTATCATCACTTTGGTAAATGCCAACAATCGGAGAAATGGCGTGTCCCCTTCGCCGGATACGCGATATTCGTCACACGTGTCCACGATCTTTTTCCCCGGCACTTATTAATAACGAAATATAACATGACACAGATAGAAAATCGTCCAAATTAATGTCTTTACCGTACAGTTTTTGTCGTCGATCCCCCGGCATTCGAAATCCTTTCTTTTTTTTATAGCATGTGATTTTGGCGTCGAATCAAGTGTCCGTAGATTTCGCGCTAGTAGAAAATCGTAAATTCTTTCAGTCATGTGATCGCCGAAATACCGAGAATCATTGATTTGAGTAAATGCGGATGGCGATGGGTGAATTACGGAAACGCGTCTTTCGTAAGGGTCATTGCATTTGTAACTTATCTGCAGCTACTCAAGGGCCTTGACTCAAGGCCATTGCGGCCGTGGACCGGCCCGAGGGATAATTTTATCATTCGCGTCGACGACCACTACATGGGAGTTCTCACGGGTCTCAGCGACAATAGCTCACACGCGTGTCCCGCCTATCGATACTCTCCACGAATAGTTTTTTTTTTATAAAACGAAATATTCCGTTGTTGACGAAATAGAGCGTTTTCCATCGTAAATATCTCACGATTGGCGGAATGTGATTTTCCGATTTGTTTTCTCATCTCAGATGTATTTTTGCCGACTTAAATGAGACCTGACTCATCCAAATCGTATTGTTTGGTCAGGAGATATTGAGAATTTAAGAAGATCTATTTTACTTCACCTTCACCTATTAAATTTCGGTGAAGGGAATATAAATAAGTGGCGCAATCCTGACGAAGTGCTAACGGATGGTCTAGTGTGGTGACCTTCGATTCGGGATTTCGAGGGTCTTCCATGGATCATTGTATTACTACATGAAGAAAAATGGGGATTCCACCGGGAGGGGCAGGGGAGAGGGATCAAGAGAAATAGGAATAATAAGGGAAATATAAATAAATGGCTAATGGGTTGATAAATAGATATATGTTACAATTTTATTAATATTTATACGGCAATAGACTTGGAATTAGAATTCAGTAGCGAAGTGGTAGAATGGTATAAGTCAATTTTGACTATTGACCAATTTTTCACGAATATCTCGGAATCTAAGGGAGATAGCAAAATTTTTGTTCTAACCTTTTTTGCAGAGCCGATTGCGAGCTACAACAAATGTAATTACGAAAATTTCACCATCTCCCTTAGATTCAGAAATATTCCTCAAAAACTCAACTGGGAGAGGAGTCGACTTAAACCGTTTTACCATTCCCAACCACGTCGAAGAAAGAAAAACACTCCTTAAAGCGATCAGCAAGAGCAACCCCAGACCACTGAATATTCAAGATATCCTAAAGTCCCTCAGAAGAAAAGACATTAAAACTATTTCCAAATTCTTCAAAAATTTTTCACTTCAAGTATGAAATGTTTTTAACAAAAACTCTAACTAATCAACTAACATTAAGAGACTATTACAATTTATATATTTTTTCATCACGCTGTGACGAAACGTGAACTTTTCGGCACGCTCCGCGTGCCTAAAAGTCCAATTTCCGCCACATTGTGATGAAAAATCTAGTTCGTAACTCGTGAAAAAATGTTTTTTAGCTCGTGGGATTATATCGCTCGCCTTCGGCTCGTGATATAAACCTCCCACTTGCCAAAAAACACTTTTTTGCACTCGTTACGAAATATACTATACTACTATGTAATGATAAATTGTAATACATTTATTGGTAGCTGAATGAGCCCGAAAGGGGTTCGGACGCTTAATAAAAAAAACATTTTACCACTTCGCTACTGAATTGGTGTTTAATAGTACTTCATAGAAATATATTTTTTGTTTTGTATCTACAGAATAAATGAATGCCCTGATGAAGAACTCGTGTAAGAATTGTTTTTCTCTCTCGAATCTTTCCTTCTCCAATTCTAATTAAAATTGCTGTTAAGACCGTTAATGGCCGAGGAAGTGGGATTTTTTTGAAGATAAATAAATGGCGCAATCCTGAAAAATTGCTAACGGATCTAGTGTTGACCTTCGATCCGGGATTTCGCGGGTCTTCCATGGATCCTCCACAAAGCGAAACGGTGATTCCACCGGGAGGGGCAGGGGAGAGGGAGTGGGATCAAGGGAAATAGGAATAATAAGGGGAATATAAATAAATGGCTAACGGGTTGATAAATAGGTATGTTTTACAATTTTATTAATATTTATACTGCAATAGATTTGGAAATAGAATTAGTGTTTAATAGTACTTCATGAAAAAATATTTTTTGTTTTGTATCTACACTCTAAAAAAAGATTACTTCTGATAAGTAGGAAAACTACTTGTATTCAGTACCGAGGCGTTTCTGGAGAAAAGCTAATTTTTTTACTTGATCCAAGTCGAAAATCGACTGAATACAAGTTTTATGCTCCAAGTACAATTAGCACTGGTGACAAGTACCAACTGTACTCATCATCAGTACTGAAAGTACTTGTACTGAGTACCGAGCTGTACTTCTCAAAAGTAGAAAAAATACTTGAGACAAGTAGTAATAGTACTCAAATCCAGTACCAATGGATTTTCGCGGAATATTACAGTAAGATTCATCATACAATGGAGATCGTTGAAAAACGAAGAATTAATGCAAATAAAATTATTGTTTATTGTTCGTTTGCCCCTCAAATGCTTGAAAATTGAAATGTACTGGACTACAGTCCAGTGTAATAAATTCTCGAGCTACAGAGATTTTTTTTTCAAAATTTTTCAAAAGATGTGTAGAATAACAATTACCAATTAAGTTTTCCAAATTTAATTTCCAAATAGTCCTTTTTTTTAATAACAAAAAAGGTAATATTCATGCGAAATAGCCAGCAAAATGATTCTCAAAATAATTGTTATATTTTATATTGAACAAAAAAATTGAAGTATTAATCTTTTGAGCTATCTTGTGTGAAAATTGCAATTTCATTATGCGACAAAGAATGAAATTGCCTATTTAGAAGTCGAATTTTGAAAAAAAGTAGCTCGTAACCGTTATTCTAGACATCTTTTGAAAAATTTACAAAAGGAAACCCCTGTAGCTCAAAAATTGAGTACACTGTGCTATTTTTCTTCATTTTCAAGGTCTTGGGGGCAAATAAACAATAAATAATCGTTTTTTTTCCCACTTATTCTTCGTCTTTCAACATATATAAATAATCAATCATCAATGTGTGATAAATCTTACTGCAATATCTCGCGATTTTTAAACTCATCGTAACCTCCCCTCGATGAAATTTGGTCATTGTCATCTGAGAATGATAATGATAATGATAATGAGAACGATAATGAGAATGATAATTAATGATATGAAATTCCCCAACAAAATAACCAACCAAAAGTACTGGAATCAAGTCATAAAAGTACTCGCGAGAAGTAGAAAAATTACTTGCTCCAAGCATTAAAAGTACTTGTGAGAAGTAAGAAAAATGCTGACAGGAAGTAATAAAAGTACTTCCTCCTAGTACTTTTCCTACTTGCTTAGCAAATATTGTACTTCACCCAAGGACATGAAAAGTACTTGGGACAAGTAGTTTCCCAAATTTTCACAAGAAAACTTCTCCCAAGTAGAATTCAGTACTGGTGAGTAGTAACTTTTTTTTAGAGTGTACAGAATAAATGAATGCCCTGATGAAGAACTCGTGTAAGAATTGTTTTTCTCTCTCGATTCTTTCCTCCTCCAATTCTAATTAAAATTGCTGTTAAGACCGTTAATGGCCGAGGAAGTGGGAGTTTTCTGAAGATAAATAAATGGCGCAATCCTGAAAAATTGCTAACGGATCTAGTGTTGACCTTCGATCCGGGATTTCGCGGGTCTTCCATGGATCCTCGACAAAGCGAAACGGTGATTCCACCGGGAGGGGCAGGGGAGAGGGAGAGGGATCAAGGGAAATAGGAATAACGTTTGCGTGCGGCTGAGGGGTGGCGTTCTACTGGCCTAAATAAACTGGGTTCAACGATTCGACCCCCGCAAGGCCGCGCCACACGCCTAGATGTCTATACTTTGGGGTTTTTCTGCCCTACATATCGCCAATAATCATTAAAACTCGAAATTCACCCTTCGGAAATCACTCAGACCCGCCGATTTATCGGTGAGAGACCACTGGAGAGAGAGTATTGGCACTTGAAGTGCATGAGAACAATTTTATCGATCGGAATCGCTTAGCTCCTCGTGTTTAAACTCATCTGGGGTAATTTTATTTGACCTCCCATGGGAGTGTCAACTGTCAAGGACGCGGGAAACACCACAAAACTGGCGATTGCCATCGCAATTGCAAAATCGATTTGACATTATTCAAAATAACTGCAAAAGCACTCGGTAAAATTGAAATAAACATTTCAGATGAAAGCGCCTGGTCTTCCCGGGGAATTGATAATTCATTCACCCCCCCCCCCCC